ACAGCTCAGGGTTCCGTCAGTACGACCCTGGGCTCCATCAGTACAGCTTATGGTTCCGTCAGTACGACCCTGGGCTCCATCAGTACAGCTCAGGGTTCCGTCAGTACGGCCCTGGGCTCCATCAGTACAGCTTATGGTTCCGTCAGTACGACCCTGGGCTCCATCAGTACAGCTCAGGGTTCCGTCAGTACGACCCTGGGCTCCATCAGTACAGCTCAGGGCTGGACAAGCTTACCGAACCCCGCATTTCAAGCTGGCTTCACTTGTGGGAAACTTCAACTGCCATCTCACTTTCTGGTCTGTCTTGTCTGCTTCACTCCCTGGTCTTTCTCCTGTGTACAATTCCTGCTCTTTCTCTCTCTTCATGCCTCCAGTGTCCACTACCTGTTTCTCACTCCTTTAATTCCTGGCCTGCCTCACTCTTTTGTGGTCTCCATCTCCCTACTCCACTTTCTGCCAGATGTCTCCCTGCTCCACTTTCTGCCAGATGTCTCCCTGCTCCACCTTCTGCCAGATGTCTCCCTGCTCCACTTTCTGCCATGTGTCTCCATGCTTCACTTTCTGCCAGATGTCTTCCTGCTCCACTTTCTGCAAGGTTTCTCCCTGCTTCACTTTCTGCCATGTGTCTCCCTGCTTCACTTTCTGCCGGATGTCTCCCTGCTCCACTTTCTGCAAGGTTTCTCCCTGCTTCACTTTCTGCCAGATGTCTCCCTGCTCCACCTTCTGCCATGTGTCTCCCTGCTCCACCTTCTGCCATGTGTCTCCCTACTCCACTTTCTGCCAGGTTTCTCCCAAGGGGTATGAAGAGTGGTTTCTAGCCAGGGGGTTTCTTTGTCATCAATGCAAGGGATATGAAGAGTGGTTTCTAGCCAGGGTTTTTTTTTTGTCATCAGTGCAAGGGGTATGAAGAGTGGTTTCTAACCAGTTGGTTTGTATATAGTGCAAGGAGTAATGAAGAGTGTTGTTTCTAACTGGTGGTTCAACCAAACCCCTAGCCAGTGCCATGTCTTCAGTGATAAATTTATGTATATTATTTTAAAAATGAAAATGTATTGTGATTGTTGTGTACTTTGTCATCATGATCTGTGCACTAGAAATGTGAGAAGACTGCGCCATGAGAGGTTTACTGTGCTGGAGGATATCCTCTTGTTTGTTCAAACTGTCAGCCAATCATCACATCTGTCATGCTCTCAGCCAATCATCACGTCTGTCATGCTCTCAGCCAATCATCACATCTGTCATGCTCTCAGCCAATCATCACATCTGTCATGCTCTCAGCCAATCATCACATCTGTCATGCTCTCAGCCAATCATCACATCTGTCATGCTCTCAGCCAATCATCACATCTGCCATGCTCTCAGCCAATCATCACATCTGTCATGCTCTCAGCCAATCATCACATCTGTCATGCTCTCAGCCAATCATCACATCTGTCATGCTCTCAGCCAATCATCACATCTGTCATGCTCTCAGCCAATCATCACGTCTGTCATGCTCTCAGCCAATCATCACATCTGTCATGCTCTCAGCCAATCATCACATCTGTCATGCTCTCAGCCAATCATCACATCTGTCATGCTCTCAGCCAATCATCACATCTGTCATGCTCTCAGCCAATCATCACATCTGTCATGCTCTCAGCCAATCATCACATCTGTCATGCTCTCAGCCAATCATCACGTCTGTCATGCTCTCAGCCAATCATCACATCTGTCATGCTCTCAGCCAATCATCACATCTTTCATGCTCTCAGCCAATCATCACGTCTGTCATGCTCTCAGCCAATCATCACGTCTGTCATGCTCTCAGCCAATCATCACATCTGTCATGCTCTCAGCCAATCATCACGTCTGTCATGCTCTCAGCCAATCATCACATCTGTCATGCTCTCAGCCAATCATCACATCTGTCATGCTCTCAGCCAATCATCACATCTGTTATGCTTTCGGCCAATCATCACATCCAACAAATTATCTCATGTGTTTCACACGGCTGGCCAGTTTTTATTTCACCTTCCCAGGGTCAAGGTCATTGAACCTCCAGGTGTGTGGTGCCACCTGGTGCCTGCAATCATTCGTGTACATAAATGTCTTCTATTTCCATCAGGTTGTCAATGATATGAGTTATCGCCTCGGATTTGCAAACCGAAATTTGTACAGTAAAATAAATATCTCTGTAACCAATGTGATGTATGACTTGCAGTTCAGTCAGCCAAACATCTAGTAAATGACTTGCAGTTTAGTCAGGCAAATGTCTAGTGAATGACTTGCAGTTCAGTCGGGCAAACATCTAGTGAATGACTTGCAGTTCAGTCAGGCAAATATCTAGTGAATGACTTGCAGTTCAGTCAGGCAAATATCTAGTGAATGACTTGCAGTTCAGTCAGGCAAATATCTAGTGAATGACTTGCAGTTCAGTCAGGCAAATATCTAGTGAATGACTTGCAGTTCAGTCAGGCAAATATCTAGTGAATGACTTGCAGTTCAGTCAGGCAAATATCTAGTGAATGACTTGCAGTTCAGTCAGGCAAATATGTTGTGAATGACTTGCAGTTCAGTCAGGCAAATGTCTAGTGAGTGATTTGCACTTAGGGGAAAAAATGTGAGCGTGTGTGAACGCATTTCAATAATTTGCTCATGTCAGTTATGATGAAAAGCCATATTTCAATTAAAAAAATGCAGGAACACCGTACATCTTACTACTTGTGTGTGATCAATATAGTGATAGTTGTATGTTGACATGTATGATCTATACAGTGATAGTTGTATGTTGACATGTATGATCTACACAGTGATAGTTGTATGTTGACATGTATGATCTACACAGTGATAGTTGTATGTTGACATGTATGATCTACACAGTGATAGTTGTATGTTGACATGTATGATCTACACAGTGATAGTTGTATGTTGATCTGTGTGATCTAAAAGTAAGGTCGAGAGGATCGACTTCACTGCATCTGGTTTGATCCCACATGGCTCAGTCTTCCTCCGCAGAACGGCTAGCCGCCTGCTGAGACCATCCCACAAGGCTCGTGTGATCTAACCAGTGACAGTTGTGTGTTGAACTATGTAGTGATTGTTATATGTTGATTTGTGTGATCTATCAGGAGTGAAGCAAGGCTGTGTCCTATCGCCGATGCTTTTTGGTATAGCAATCGACTGGGTCATGCGCAAGTGCATAAAAAACGCAAATTTAGGCATTACATGGGTTGACAAAATTCTGGAAGACCTAGACTTCGCCGACGACATAGCACTCCTGAGTTCAGAACACATAGACGCCCAAGAAAAAATCAATCGACTCCAGAATTTCTCAGAACAAATTGGACTCCAAATTAACACCGCAAAAACAAAAATTCTAGACCTTACCAACAGTTCAGTTGATATCACGCTGAACAACAACAGCCTTGAAAAAGTCAACAGTTTCACTTATCTAGGGAGCAAGATGTCATCTACAGGAGATACCGCACCAGAAATATCATTTAGAATAGCACTGGCATCTAGTGCCTTCAATAAACTGTCTAACATCTGGAAATCAAAGACACTTAGCAAACACACAAAACTCAACTTCAATTCTTGTGTGATTCCAGTACTAACCTATGGATGCGAGAGCTGGAAATCAACGAAAACTCTAGACACAAAATTAGACAGTTTTGAAAATAAATGCCTTAGAAGAATACTAAATTTCAAATGGTCAGATTTCCGAACCAATACACAAATAAGGCAAGAGTATGTGTCTAATTTTAAAACGCCGCTGGAACTATGTCGGCCACGCCCTTAGAATGGATAAATCAAGACTTCCTTACCAAGCCCTCATTTGGACACCACAGGGGAAAAGATCTCGTGGAAGACCAAGGGAAACCCTACGTAGAACTATCATCAGGGAAGGCTCGCTCATGGGCCACTCAAACATCCAAGACCTACAACGGATTGCAACGGACCGCCGTGCATGGAGAGTCGCGACCTCTGCCCTATGTGCCGCACTCGACACAAGAGGAAAGACTAACTAACTAACTAATCCAGTGATAGTTGTACGTTGATCTGTAATTTCTTCAGTTGTATATTTTTTTGTGATTTTTGCAGCGATAGTTGTATATTGATTTGTGTGCTAGTTGTATGTTATTTTGTGTGATCTATCCTGTGATAGTTGTATGTTGATCTGTATGTTTATGTTTAATTCACAACAGATCAACATCATGGCACACGTGTGTAACCCGTAAGTGCTCCGTTCTACTTTTAACTCGTCTGAGGTTCTCAGCACAGTGCACAAACTCTGTAGCACCGGTGAGGACCCTGAAATACTTTAGATTTTTAACTGCAAATTTTGCCTGGGTAGACTACTTTTTGTTTATATTTCCATCTGCCAAGGTATTTTTTATGTGCACAACAATGTTCATGGACGTCGAGTCTTACTACCCAAGACCAGGGGAAATTACTAGAAGTCCACTTGAAAAAATCCAAGCATTCACCAGGGTTTTAAACACAGGACCTCTAGCACTTGAGGCGGATGCCATACCTCCAGTGACAGTTGTATGTTGATATGTGTAGTGATAGTTATATGTTGATTTGTATTTCTTCAGTGACAGTTGTTGATTTTTGTTATTTTTTCCCAGTGATAGTTATAGGTTGATCTGTGATCTATCAATTCCAGTGATAGTTATAGGTTGATCTGTGATCTATCAATTCCAGTGATAGTTATAGGTTGATCTGTGATCTATCAATTCTAGTGATAGTCATAGGTTGATCTGTGATCTATCAATTCCAGTGACAGTTTTATAATTTATCCAGTGATATTTGCATCTGATCTATCCCATGACAGTTTAATATTGATCTGTATATATGATTTATCCAGTTTTAGTTGTATGTTGATCTATGTTATCTATCTAGTGATAGCAGTGTGTAGATCAGAACAGACCAAATCTGACTGGTATTGAATCAAAAACTGACCACAAATTTCTCACACACACAAACATAGAAACCATTACATATCACATATCTGTTTATTTTCCCTTCCTTTTATTGACTTTCTTGCGACATTCATTGGGGTTTCTCTTAGACCACTGAGGGGGATGGCAACTACGAATACCCAGCTGTGCTGCCCGACTGTTGACATCGTTGACACTGAACGGACTCATATCCGCGATGATATCTGCAGACAGGATGTCCACTTTCTGTAGTGATTTCTTGGACGGCCTCTGATCTGGTCTGGGCTGGTCGGCACACAACAAGGGGTTGATTGCATGCTTGCCTCCTTGAGGTTTCGGCAGAGAAAACTGAAGAGAAAAAACATCCAAATGATTATTCCTCTCACCTGTGTGCATTGCCAAAAGAAATGTTTTGTATTATGTGACTTCATCACACGCAGGTCAAAGTGACTTCCTCACACGCAGGCAGTTTTCTTGCAGATCAAAGTGACTTCCTCACACGCAGGCAGTTTTCTTGCAGATCAAAGTGACTTCATCACATGCAGGCAGTTTTCTTGCAGATCAAAGTGACTTTGGGCCATGTCACCTGCCAAGGACAGCTGGTTGCCCCTAACTGATGGTCTCACAGACCCAAGTGACCCTGGGCCTTGTCACCTGCCAAGGACAGCTGGCTGCCCCTAACTGATGGTCTCACAGACCCAAGTGACCCTGGGCCATGTCACCTGCCATGGACAGCTGGCTGCCCCTAACTGATGGTCTCACAGACCCAAGTGACCCTGGGCCATGTCACCTGCCATGGACAGCTGGCTGCCCCTAACTGATGGTCTCACAGACCCAAGTGACCCTGGGCCATGTCTGTTATGCGCACTCCAGAGGAACAGGAGATAAACATCTCACTAAATAATTATTTCTTACCTGAGACTAGAGCAGTGCAGTTAGCTTTGGAGGGGGGGGGGGGGGGGGGGGGGGCGCACGTAAGGTTCGTGAGCGTGAGGATATAGGGCCATGTGGTTGGTGCAGCTGCCACAAACTCTGCAGATTAGGATTATTTTTGCAGAAAGTTTCCATAACTTTAACAAGGATTCACATAAAGGTTTCTCTGATGGCAGCTTATCACTGTTATCACTCAGCCAGCATGCATGCTGCCATATCTCAGTTAGCCAACACATACGAGTACCAGTTATAATTGTCATCCTGCACTCTGCTACTAGTCTTAACACATGTGGACAGGTCTCAGAGAGAAGACAAACCATGTGTGGACAGGTCAGAGAGAAGACAAACCATGTGTGGACAGGTCAGAGAGAAGACAAACCATGTGTGGACAGGTCTCAGAGAGCAGACAAACCATGTGTGGACAGGTCAGAGAGAAGACAAACCATGTGTGGACAGGTCAGAGAGAAGACAAACCATGTGTGGACAGGTCTCAGAGAGAAGACAAACCATGTGTGGACAGGTCTCAGAGAGAAGACAAACCATGTGTGGACAGGTCTCAGAGAGAAGACAAACCAAGTGTGGACAGGTCTCAGAGAGAAGACAAACCATGTGTGGAGAGGTCAGAGAGAAGACAAACCATGTGTGGACAGGTCAGAGATAAGACAAAGCATGTGTGGACGGGTCAGAGATAAGACAAACCATGTGTGGACAGGTCAGAGATAAGACAAACCATGTGTGGACAGGTCAGAGATAAGACAAAGCATGTGTGGACAGGTCAGAGAGAAGACAAAGCATGTGTGGACAGGTCAGAGAGAAGACAATCCATGTGTGGACAGGTCAGAGATAAGACAAAGCATGTGTGGACAGGTCAGAGATAAAACAAACCATGTGTGGACAGGTCAGAGAGAAGACAAACCACACATGTGCGGACAAGTCACATACCTTGGTGCCTCTGGTACGGATAGTGTAGTTCTTGGCCAGCCAGTACCTCACTGAGCCGTCCTCCTCTATGGTGGTGGAGAGCCGTTTGAGGGTCTTGTTGCCACAATGTGGGCAAAACTGTCTGCTGGTGTCTTTGGTTATTCTGTAGGCAGAGACACGAGCACAAGTATAAACGCTAGCCATATGTGGGCAGAGACATGAGCAGAAGTATAAACACTAGCCATATGTGGACAGAGACATGAGCACAGGTAGTTCTAGTCATATGTGGGTAGGGATATGAGCACAAATACTAGCCTTATGTGGGCACTGTTGGCACAGACATGAGCATAATCACTATATTTACAAACACCATAAGTGTAAACTTGAAGCATATGTGGGCACTGTTAGCAGAGATATGGGCATATGTACAAGTCACATGTGGGTACTGTTGGCAGAGATGGGCATATATATTAGTCATATGTGGGTACTTTTAGAATCGATATGGGCACACATACTCATAATATGTGGGCACTGTTAGCAGAGATACGGACACACATACTAGTAAAATGTGGGAACTGTTAGCAGAGATATGGGCACATGTTCTAGTCCTATGTGGGAACTGTTAGCAGAGATAAGGGCACTGTTAGCAGAGGTAGGTGCATATTGTAATAAGTGGTTTGTATTTCTACTCGTTGTCTAGGCAGTGTTCATGCGTGTGTGGTGATGATATTCTCACACGCTCCACGTTACACAACTGGCACAAGCCGACACTGATGTGAGCTTACGAGACATGAATTTATTGACGTTTTAAGACTTACGACAAATGAATAGTCCAGTCGGTGTCCTAGTGAACAGCTTTCGTACACAAACTCACGCAGCCTTCAACGAACATTCTTCTGCAGGCATTCAAGCAACGATGGGTCCCATGGGTTCAACATTGATGTTTGGACATCTCACACGCTGGCATGGTCGATCTCAGCTTAACACTTCGTCGGCAGGCCTCCTTTCTCCTCAGGCACTCACGTAGACATTCTCACATTCAGTCGCTCGTCCTCTCACTCCAACAGGTCGACACAAACTAAACTTGACCAGAGTCAAGTCTGACTTATACCACGGGTTCGTTTCACGTGACAACACGTGGTGGTCCTTTACTTTTCCCGTGGCGACCTTGGGTCGCATCACCGTGGTCCCCGTGATAACTAGTGGTTAGTCACCTATCTCCAGATTCTCGTTTAATCCAAGTATCTGGACTATCTCGGTGTTTTCGGTCAGCTTTGGGCCTTCCCCCCAACCATCCTAAACTGGGTCGAAAATATCCCCCATTACACATATGAATACACACTAGTCACATGTTTGTATTAGCTCACATGCACAAACAAGAGATGTGTTCTCCCAAGGGAGCAGGCAGGTGAAATATAATTCACCTTGTAAAGACATGTTTAAGAAGCAAACGCATGCACGTGCCTCAGACAGACAAAACAGGTTCTGAAGCAAACATACGCACGTTATACAACGAAACAGGTTATGAAGTAAACATGCACGTAGCTGAAGCAGGTTATGAAGCAAATACACGCACGTACCTCATACAGCCAAAACAGGTCTCAAAGCAAACACATGTACGCATGTCATACAGCTGAAACACGTTTATGAAGCCAACACATACACATACTTTAAACAGCCGAAACATGTTTATGAAGTGAACACATGCACGTACCTCAAACAGCCGAAACATCTAAGCACATAACTTTTGGCCCTCTTGATGAGCAGGCCATCGATGGAGAGAACATGCAGGCCCATCTGGATGAGAACGTTCTAGAAGACAAAGACATACATTCATGACGTACATTCATGACATACACTGTAGCAGCAAATTATGAAAGAATAACGTCTTGTTTTGTTTACTGGGTGTCTTTCTTGATCAGGTGTAGGCAGGCAACAAACAGAATATTAGTGAATGTAGCCAAGACAAGGAGATGGTCTGGTCATTCAACGAGAATGATTTGGTCATCTAGGGAGATGATTTGGTCATCTAGGGAGATGATTTGGTCATCTAGGGAGATGATTTGGTCATCTAGGGAGATGATTTGATTATCTGGCGATGGTTTGGTCATCCAGGGAGATGGTATGGTCATCTAGGGAGATGGTCTGGTCATTCAACGAGAATGATTTGGTCATCTAGGGAGATGGTATGGTCATCCAGGGAGATGGTATGGTCATCTAGGGAGATGGTATGGTCATCCAGGGAGATGGTATGGTCATCTAGGGAGATGGTATGGTCATCTAGGGAGATGATTTGATTATCTGGCAATGGTATGGTCATCCAGGGAGATGGTATGGTCATCTAGGGAGATGGTATGGTCATCCAGGGAGATGGTATGGTCATCTAGGGAGATGGTCTGGTCATTCAACGAGAATGATTTGGTCATCTAGGGAGATGGTATGGTCATCTAGGGAGATGGTATGGTCATTCAACGAGAATGATTTGGTCATCCAGGGAGATGGTATGGTCATCCAGGGAGATGGTATGGTCATCTAGGGAGATGGTATGGTCATCCAGGGAGATGGTATGGTCATCTAGGGAGATGGTATGGTCATCTAGGGAGATGATTTGATTATCTGGCAATGGTATGGTCATCCAGGGAGATGGTATGGTCATCTAGGGAGATGGTATGGTCATCCAGGGAGATGGTATGGTCATCTAGGGAGATGGTATGGTCATCCAGGGAGATGTTATGGTCATCTAGGGAGATGGTATGGTCATCCAGGGAGATGGTATGGTCATCCAGGGAGATGTTATGGTCATCCAGGGAGATGGTATGTCATCTAGGGAGATGATTTGGTTTGGTTATCTGGGGACTGTTTGGTCATCTGATGAGAATGCCCTGGTACCAACTGCCATGGAGAACCCAGCTGAAGAAATATGAACACATCTCTGTGTGGGTTTCTGGATCCTCCTTGCATGAAAACTAAATGATAGACCCACTGCCCCCAACTAGCATGTCTGGTTAAAGTCAACGAATTATGAGTGTTTCTGTCAAAACTGAAGAACAATCTGTCTGAGAGGCAAGTAACCAACAGTTGCTTCAAATAAGCCAGATCTGTCAAACAGATGTGCATGCAAAATTCAAGTTCTCATAGGGCCAAGGTCAGAAGGATTAGAGCAAGAATGAACATACAAGAAAAAAAGCCTTAGAGAAATGATCAACTTATGCAACACATTGGAAAGAACATAAAGAAAACCGGTACTGCTCCCTCCACCCAAGCACAACACCCACAACGCTTGGAGAAGGAAGCGGAAAGGTAACCAATGAGTAATTAACAATGACTATGTCACATTCTGGGAGTTGCCGTGGTGTATCAGCTGGTTGGAACCAGCATTTCTTCAAAATGACCTAGGGTCCCAGGTCGATCCAGTCTTGAGTGGGTACCAGGTGCAGTCCTGGGAAGTAAAAGCAGCTGGCGTGATGTTGACGACATAACCTACCAAGTGCCAATAGTCAATCAAATACAGGTCTAGCCCTATGTGCCCAGTATGCCCGAAGGCGTGGAAAAAGGTCTGTTTCTTTTTTAAAACTTGAAGGTCACATATTATTTGTCCTCTGCATCTATCATAAGCTTTCAGCTGTCTCATGCCATGGCCCTTGTGTTCTGTCACAGTCACACACAGTACCTTGCATGCACATACAAGCCCTACCTGCATGGCAAAATCTGTAGTCAAACAGCCAACACTGACATGGCTCACTTCTGCAACTTCTACACCCATTGACCTCTTGACCTCAGCAATATTAGCCGGAGTTATCCACCCTTCATCATCATCACTGTCATCTTCATCTTCAGTTTCTTCATCTTCTTCCTCAGAATGTTGGATGTCTTTCTGCCTGTTGTCTGGATTCTCCACATCCTCCTGTCCCCTGTCCTGAACCTCTTCAGCCAACTCTATGCTGCCCAGTGCATCGTTCAGTGTGTCGGCAGCATCAAAATATACCTCGTCTTCATCATCACTGTCTGTTTCTTTCTTCTCTCCAATCTGATCTGAAGGGAGTGCTTCTCCATCCTCATACCTCTGAAACATTCAGAAATACATGAAGATGATATCACATTTCTCTGCCTTTCAACCATTACATACTCATTCCCTTACAATCATTACCTACTCATTCCCCAACAAAAAGGTCATGTGACACAACAATTCATTACTCACGTGCCTCTTTTCAAATATGCCATTATTTCAAACAACCAATGATTACATATTCCTTATCACATGCCATTAATTCAGACAACCAGTTATTAGATATCCCTTTTGAAGCGGGTCATTAATTCAGACACCAATCATTATCTGTCATCAAATATGTCATTAATTCAGACAACTGTTTACAAGTAAAGAACATTATCACAATCCAAGATCAAACAAAATACTATATACATTCACAAAGATCAATGGACGACAAAAATGATGCAAGCAACATATTCCACGTACCTTGGTGGCTAGTGTCACACCACAGCTTTCCGTTTTGTGTCCAACGGTCCATTCAGGCTGAAAAAAAAAAAGATTAAAAGTCAATATCCATCTTTTTCTTCTTGTTATCTCCCAATGGAGCATTGGCCCTTAGCCTGCTCATACCCAGATCTCTCATACCTGGCTGTCTTTTCCAGCTCCTTTCATGCACACCCCCCCCCCCCCAATAACTCTGTCTCTAACGTCATGATAAAACATCCTAGAGGAATAGATTGTGTGACAACATGACAAATGGTACTAGAGGAACTGATTGTGTGACATACACTGGCACAACATGACAAATGGCAATATAGGAACAGATTGTGTGACATACACTGGCACAACATGATAAATGGTACTAGAGGAACAGATTGTGTGACATATACTGGCACAACATGATAAATGGCAATATAGGAACAGATTGTGTGACATACACTAGCACAACATGATAAATGGTACTAGAGGAACAGATTGTGTGACATATACTGGCACAACATGACAAATGGTACTAGAGGAACAGATTGTGAGACATATACTGGCACAACATGATAAATGGCAATATAGGAACAGATTGTGTGACATACACTAGCACAACATGATAAATGGTACTAGAGGAACTGATTGTGTGACATACACTGGTACAACATGACAAATGGCAATACAGGAACAGATTGTGTGACATACACTGGCACAACATGATAAATGGCACTAGAGGAACATTTAGTTTTAGTTCTGCGTCTGTGCTGTTTTAGTTCTCCTCTTCGTCTATACTGTTTTAGTTCTGTGTCTATGCTGTTTTAGTTCTGTGTCTATGCTGAATTCTCCATCTATACTGTTTTAGTTCGCTGTCTATGCTGTTTTAGTTCCCCATCTATACTGTCTATGCTGTTTGCCCTAGAGGCCACAGAGTCAGGACTTTCTAGTTAGACTATGAGGATGTCATGCTAGTTCTACACTGTATCGATCCCACGACAACCTGGTGATGTGGTAGCCACTTTACCCCCCTCCCTGGACAACTCTCTAGCACCCACTTTATTAGGATGGGTTGACCCCTGGGCTCACGGTGAAAAACCCACCCCCAAGAGGGAGGGATCCCAAGTTCTTGTTATCTAAACACTGAAACAAACACTCGTATACCATATCTGCTGTCATCACAACCTAACAGACGTCAACAGTACAACAAACAATAATGAAACAATCTGCATACATGTCTGAAAGATTTCATTATGCAGAAATATGCACCAAAAAATGAATAAACATTTTATATCTCAATTATAGCGCTGAGGGATGAACAAAATATTTATTATATGAACATTATGATGCCTACTATCACAACAATAACTATTAATATAACAGATAATAACTACTCTCTTCCTCCCCCTGTTACTATGACAATGACCCCTACTAAAATAACAATGATGTTACAACAGCTGCCCACCATCTCAAGGGAGACAACAATTCAACAGTGGTTGCCGTGCTGGGTTAGTGACAGCGGAACACTGTCTTGGAACTAAAAGTCAGGTCCTGTCGGTGGTAACGTCTAGTGGGGTGTTCACAATACATCTGATTACAAACCTTCTTTGACGGCTCTTTCCGAATGTGTTCTGTGCCTTTAAACTGTTTCTCTAGGTCATAGACTAGCGCCAACACTTTTAAATCAACGGCCGAGAGCGAGCGATAGTCGCCAGTTTTCTTAGAAAATGATGTCACTGGAGACAGAAAATCAAGCATGGCTCAGAACATGAGTTGTATTCAGGGAATGGCCAACGTGCAATGACGTTAACTGTGAAAACATACATCACTGTCGTATAAATGATTGTGATAACATACATCATTATCGTTTAAATGATTGTAAAACATACATCATTATCGAATATATGATTGTGATAACATACAGCATTATCGAATATATGATTGCGACAGCATACAGAGTTTAGTGAAGACTTGACATCACAGCATTCGGGACACTGCCATGTGGTCCATCTCCATCTTCAGCAGCCAGCACAGTTTCAGTACTGATGGTACCTGTCACAAGCTGGTTATATGTCCGTCCGTCTTACCTTTTCTCTGAGTGTAGTGAGCTGGCCAGACCCTCTGGTTACACCCAGATGCCTCATTCTCTCCAGGCCTAAATAATCTTGTTTCTCTACTGATTCCGTTGCTTGTTGCCAATGGACTATTACATATGACTGTGATAAATATGATGTATATATGACTGTGATAGCATACAGCATTATCGTATATAGACTGTGATAAGACACAGCATTATTGTCTATATGATTGTGAGTTCCCTAGTGTATATGAGCAAAGCTCTGTGTGTGGTGTCATTACCTCAGACACAGAAAATATGGAATGTTACACATGAACAACTGATGAAATGTTCACTGTAGTAAAACTGTGCAACTGTAGAGAAACTAAGTGGTCACTTGACCACAATCTGACTAGAAAAAGATGTTAGTGTTCTGGGAGCAAAGACAAGTCGGGCTGCAACATTCAAGTCTATCAATGAACAACAGTGCAACATTCAAGTCTATCAATGAACAACAGTGCAACATTCAAGTCTATCAATGAACAACAGTGCAACATTCAAGTCTATCAATGAACAACAGTGCAACATTCAAGTCTATCAATGAACAACAGTGCAACATTCAAGTCTATCAATGAACAACAGTGCAACATTCAAGTCTATCAATGAACAACAGTGCAACATTCAAGTCTATCAATGAACAACAGTGCAACATTCAAGTCTATCAATGAACAACAGTGCAACATTCAAGTCTATCAATGAACAACAGTGCAACATTCAAGTCTATCAATGAACAACAGTGCAACATTCAAGTCTATCAATGATCAACACTCTAGCAAGACTGCAACATTCAAGTCTATCAATGATCAACGCTCAAGCAAGACTGCAACATTCAAGTCTATCGATCATCAACCCTCAAGCAAAACTGCAACATTCAAGTCCATCAATGATCAATACTCTAGCAAGACTGCACCATTCAAGTTTATCAGTGATCAACACTCAAACAGGACTGCAACAATCAAGTCCATCAATAATCAATTACCTATAGATAAGGCTTCGTTTGAGGGTTCCTTGAACGTGATATCAATAGGGAATACCTTCAATCTCCGCCTGGTGGCTCTGTCACAGCTTTCAAGGATAACTTCCGGCACCGTGTACACATGTTCTGCAATATCCTAGTGGGACACATACATCAATTTAAATTAACAAAAAAATAAGGTATTCTGTACTGGCCTGGTGATTTCAGTCACAGGTGAGAGACAAAGCTAAGACTGTTGTGGTGTGTAAATAGTGAAGGCTCTCTGAACACTCAATGATTTTCTTGAGATAAAAGATATGTAGTGAAGGCTCTCTAAACACACAATAACTTTTTGATAAAAGGGATGCAGTGAAGGCTCTCTAAACACACAATAATGTTTTGATAAAAGGGATGCAGTGAAGGCTCTCTAAACACTCAATGATTTTCTTGAGATAAAAGATATGTAGTGAAGGCTCTCTAAACACTCAATGATTTTCTTGAGATAAAAGATATGTAGTGAAGGCTCTCTAAACACACAATAATTTTTTGATAAAAGGGATGCAGTGAAGGCTCTCTAAACACTCAATGATTTTCTACCTGCAACAGAAAAAGGAACTGTTGAGCTTTTAATCAAGTTGCACTTGACACTTGACAATTCTTGATCGACCCCTTAATTACTTCAACTATTATTTAATAAATGTGACATCGTTTCTCAACTGCTTCCCATATGCATGATGATGACCATGATGGATGGGTGCATTTTTAAAGCAACCGAAAGTAAAAGTATGTAATGATAGATAAGTGATACAAATGTAATTACTGATCTGTTGAAATTCAATATCTAATCGATAATGATACACAGTGAGAAAATTAAAGACATACCCTATTGCCCGACCTTTGTTATGATCTATGTTTATTACAAATAAATCAACGCTTCGTTCTGCTTCACAACAACCAAGCCTGGCAACTGAATACATACATATTATTGATATTTACTAGAAATAGAAGTCTAGGATGAACCGCCTACAGATCTGACACTGGTCACGTAGTGGAGGAACAAGTATGGACAAGGGCAGACGTATAGAAACTGAATGTGCTAGAGACAGGAAAGAAGGAGAGAATGAATCACCTCTTGGAAAATGGGTACCAAATTAAACGAGGATAAGCATGCAGAAACTGGTTGTGGGGGAAAGAAAGAAGATATGTGACTCAACGGCTGCTGGGTACACTGGGCATAGATGGAGACACTGAGACTAGTGAGACAGCTGCTGGGTACACTGGGCATAGATGGAGACACTGAGACTAGTGAGACAGCTGCTGGGTACACTGGGCATAGATGGAGACACTGAGACTAGTGAGACAGCTGCTGGGTACACTGGGCATAGATGGAGACACTGAGACTAGTGAGACAGCTGCTGGGTACACTGGGCATAGATGGAGACATTGAGACTAGTGAGACAGCTGCTGGGTACACTGGGCATAGATGGAGACACTGAGACTAGTGAGACGGCTGCTGTATTGGAGGACAAAGCAAAAATTTTTGGGAATGTGCTATGATGTCGATATGGACAAGTAAGAAGTTATGGTGAACTCAATGCACACTCCATGTCTTTAGGGCTAAGCGGTCAAGCCATTTGCTTGATTGTCTGAAGATCCTGCATTTTTTCATAGCTGAATCATTCAATTCACGACTTAAACTCCATGAAAATGCCCAGAAACAACAGCTGGGCAATCCTCTGAATAATGGGCACATATTATGACGGGCAAAAACACACACTAACAGGGCCTCAGTCATATATAAATTGCGGACTTCCGGCGACAACCGCCAAGAGTATCTCCCACGCTGCTACACGCGGCATGGAGCGGGGCTAAACTAGATTAAAGATAGCTGGGACTCATGAGCAGCAGCTACAGCATCTCCCTTTATTTTATTAGCTCATGAGTCCCAGCCATCTAGTTTAGCCCCGCTCCACGCTGGAGATACTCTCGGCGGTGGGGGTAGTCGCCGGAAGTGACTGTGACCCTGTCAGGGTGTGTTTTCTGGCCGCCATAATATGTGCCCGTTATTCGGAGGATAGCCAACAGCTGTGACAGGAAACAAGCAGAACAGAAACAAACAACTAACAACAATCTCTGTCAACAATCAATGATTGTCAATAACCCTGAGAGCTGCATTTTAAAACTAAAAACAGACAAAGGAAACCTGAGGGAGCTTCTTTATTCATTGATATTACATAAATTATATTTTAGAACACACTCAAAACAGAAACTACGAATCTTGAGAAAAACAAAAAATGTGACAGTTTTGGCAATTTCCGTTACCATGGAAACCGTTCAAAACTTGCTTCGCAAATGTCGGCTGGGGTTTTGGGATGGGTCCTAATCTCTCATGAAATTTTGCGATTGGTGTGATTTTCACCCACTATAAAAAGCTGAAAAAGTCGGGAAGGAACCCGATTAACAGCGCATGTCTACGACAGCCGGACGTCCTCTGTTTTTCTGTTACATCAGTTTGATTGAAAATAGCGATAAGTATTTGAGGTTGGCTTTAGGTTTAGGTTTTAACATTACTCGTACTGGTAATGCTAGTTATAATTGAATTCTCCGTCCAATTTTACATTTGTGTATAAAATTTCTTTCTGGTACGTGGCTAGGTAGATGTACAGTGACATTTTTCAGGCAATCGCTGGCTCAGCCAGTCTCATTGTCTGCCATCTTGTCCAATGCAAACAAAGCCAAAACGAAAGTTGCGCAGTTTGGTTGCGCAGAGAAAACTTCTTGTTTCTGGGAGACAAGTTAGTTTTAGCAGCTGTTTTTTACATCTTATCTCCACAAAAACTTACATATCTCAGCTCAGAAATGACATACAAGGCTAAATGAGGTACCGTTGGAAAGATATTGTTTACAGCTATCTAACTGTGCTGGTTTTATTGGTGTAGAGGGCATTTTAAAAATTTGACCAAAGTACCTATACTTAGTAAGTAACTAATAAATTATTATTAAATATTATAGTAATAAAATAAACACAGAATCAGAAGACCTAAGAGACTTGACTTAGAGAGAGAGTAGAGAGATGTGCTCTAAAAACCGACACAAACAACAACCACAACGAACATTAAAACAGACAAAGACTCTGAGAGAAGAACTAAAACAACGAACCCTGAGAGGAGCATTGCGAATGAAAGCTCCAGCATCAGCTACAACGTGTGTGACTCTGGCTGCCATCTCTCTCTAGTTCAGGCTCTTGTGTTGTGAAGTTTACTTCTTGCATGCACAATTATCGTCTTAACAGTACCAGTGTTGCCACTTTGAATCTTTTATATCCATATTTAGATCTTTTTCATTGCATTTAGATACTGTTTTTGACGTTTAGATCGTAAACATTTTTCTAGATTCTTTTCATATGGAGTTAGATATTTTATAGATTTTTTTTTCTTTCATTGTCAATTTAATAATTACTGTGTAAAATATTTACTACAATATTTTTGTTTTGGTCTGGCACGTACATTGTGACAACTGCCATTACTTGAACTTTGAACTCTCACTGGGGTCAAAGCTCAAATATCTGGCAGTCCCGGTACTGATTAATAAAAACGCGAGTAAATCGTACTAACTTTGTTTCAACCGTATCCTCACAGTGCTGACTTTGCGTTTCTTTTTCATATGATTAAAAAAAATATTTGCTCACCTTCTATGTGGCTTTCACTTTGAAAAAACCTTTCAACATGCCAAAAGTAAAGTAAGAGCAGAAAATTTTGAAAGACTTGTTACATGATGACAAAATTAAAAACTGGGGATATGACCAAAGCTTGTTGTAAGTACTGCAAGTGTGAAATTAAAGCGAAAATACAAAACTCAAGGAGTCATGCAGAGACTAAAAAAGCATAAAAATGCAGTTTATTTAAAGATATTACACCGCTGACATCTGTTTTCAGAACTATACTGATAAATGAATCATCAAAATTTGAAGTATCAGTCGCAATGTTTTTAATTTGTCACTGCGCAATTTCAAAGACTAGAGAAATAAGCCTACTGTTCCACTTATAAAGAAATTTGAACAGCTAAAGCATACCAGTGTCATTTTGGATCTGAAGCTTCAACTTCATCATCCAAGCTAAGTTTATCCTGTGGATCTTGTGAGGCAGACATCAGTGAAGGTGAGGACATGATTATGTAGGGTAAGTCATAATAAAATCTCTGTAATTTTTGACTTTTTCAATTTGGATGTTTTTTCTAGATCTTTTTCACGCAGATTTAGATTTTTAGATATTTTTTGACACCGTTTTGGATATTTTTTGTCAAAGAAAAGTGGCAACACTGAACAGTACCGGTTGGGAGGCGGGGTGTCATATCTTCCTCTTTGGCTCCTGTCGCCAAAACTCTTTACCAGACGGAAAATCTGTCTACATCTTTGTCGTAACGCAGTCAGCATCTTGCAAAAACTATCTCCACCTGCCAACGTGTCCTCTTACATAGGTATGACAGTGCTAGGGGACTTAGTTACGTGCGGACGGCGACACAGGCGGACAGTTTCAAATCAGCTGCCCGTATTGGTGGCAGAGCACTTATGGTTTATAACCGCGTGCAATGACACTGGTTCACATCTCCTGACTTTAGCCTTACCTTCTCCCTCTGAAGGTGTCCAGCAGCCGGCGTATTTCAAATTCAGAATATAATAATAATAGTTATTATTGTTAACTTAAACTCTAATTGCTCCCATTTAATGTCAGAATCTTGGAATGTCAGTGAACAAATTAAGAATAATTTGGAAGCAACGGAGATGTGGTTTCTGAGACGAATGTTACGAATACGCTGGACGGCCAGAGTAACTAACAACCATTGCTTGACTGAAGCTAATGAAAGTAGATATCTATATACAACAATAAGAAAGAGACAAACACTGTTCTTTGGCCACATAATGAGAAGAGAGACTTTGAAGAACATCGTGACAACTAAGCCCTTTGCTAGAACTTAGAAAATCATAAGATGGCAAGATTGTTTGTTAAACGTGGTGTGACCATTCATGAGCACCGTGCATACATTAAAGTAGAATAAGAATCAACACACCGTTGGGGTTGTCAGCAGTTAACCCTTTGGGATTTGCTGAGGAGTGGATCCCTGCAATTAATTTTTGATGTTTAATTAGGAATCACAGCACTCAAGACATTCACCTAAGCGCTCCATCCCTATCTTCGACAGCAAGCTCAGAGTTCAAATTCCAGTAGAACCCAGGACCTCTGAAGCGATGCTTGCCTCCCATCACAGGGTATACTGGCTCCCCTTTCTAAACATGCTCTGTGAGTCGGTTATAATTACGACATGTGTGTACAGCTGATTTTGAAGCGGAAGGCTGTAGTGACTGCCTCCGCCTCCACTCTTGTGGTGTCATATGCCAGGTTTTGTTTCACTAAGCGACGTCCATTCACTTTTCCTAACCCCCCTCCACCCCCCCCCCACGAGCTTCGTCTTTCTCTCAGCTCAGAGCCATCTGTATAGATTATCACATCATGTGGGCAAGAATTGTCATGAATCATTTGTCGAATTTCTGTTTCTGCAGCGCCCGCTGGCTAGTCCCTGCACCCACGGCCCAGTGGGATCAGAATCCTACACAAGTCTGATTTTTACTAAGACATTCTGACCCATTCCTCTTCTCCCCCAATGTTATCAAGCCTTCACACATGTTTAATTGTGTCTTCAGCTTGTTCCAATGTGGCTCCCTTAGCCATGTCATGCAGGAGGTGTTGCTCTAAGATATGACTTAGCTTGCAGCACTTTGAGCATTTCTGTCATTGTCGGCAGTACAAATGTATATCGCATAGGCTTACAAATTGCCCGCTTGTCTTCATTCTGTATGCGTCCAAGTTTCAATAGCGGACTATTGAATATGATGAGCATTCCAAGGACATAATGCTGTAACATTGTGAACAACATCCTTTGTTGCATGTCTATTGCTGCCATAACCTTAAGTGCATTGAGTCCTTTTTGATATTTCGCCGCAGCTGCCTCTAAATGATCCACGAAAGACTTTTAGTCGTCGGACGTTGGGGTTCATACTGAGGGGAGGATCTGAGCACCTATGGACATGTCCGGAGTGCAATGATGATAATCCAACTAACTAACTAACTAACTAACTAACTAACTAACTAACTAACTAACTAACTAACTAACTAACTAACTAACTAACTAACCAACTAACTAACTAATAACTAGATCCATTAAAGACAGGCTTCTGTCGAAAGTGATACCCAGGTACCTCAGTTTGCAGTCATGCACTTAACAGTCGACTAACCAAAATATACATATTTCTTCAAGCGTGTGAGATTTGTTTTCCCTTCGCCAGGCGACGGCACTGGTGTAACCGATTGCTTCTACACAAGAAATATTGAATACACAATATAGGACACATGAATAGGGGAATAGGGCGCTAGAACAGAAAATAACTACATGTGAAATGCATTGTCTTCGCAAGAAAAGACAGGGTTACGAATACCAGCATTAGAGAGAAAGTTGAAATAAGACCATGTCGGGATCATTTTGACAGACAAAAGAATGAAATGGTTGAGCCATCTAGTGAGAATGCAGACAAAAGAACATCTGGGAGGAAGTGAAAGGAAGGCCAAGAAAAGAGAGGGATAAATAATGTAGCCAAGACCTGCAAAAAGATGAAAAAATCCATCACAAGTCACCCAGCGCAAGACAAATACAGAAAAAAAAAAAAAAAAAGACACTGGGCTACAGCCTTGATATCAGTGAGCCGTCAAAAGAAGATTCCGTGTGGAAAATATCGCTGGGAGTTTACAGAATCTTCGTGTCGCTGTACTATTGACACAACCATACAGCAAAATGGTGGGTGTATACCGATAATTTACTATCAGCGTCTTATTGTTTGTTTATTCATTTCTGTAATCCGGTTATACTTACGTTGTTTCTGTTCATAGTTGAACGAACATAGCCCTTGTTCATACTGCACCCTGAACTACGAATAAATATAGACAAAAATCACGTTAACAACATTAGTTGCGAAAATAAAATACACTCAAGTCAAGTCCAATTTCATTAAGGTCTGAGAAGGTAGTAAGCAGACGTCGACACGGCTGTGTCGACGTCTGTCTTTGAACTTTCGCAAACATGCCGATTACTTTCACTCCTTGCAAAGCTGGGCAAGACTGTAGGACGTTTTCCTGTTATAGGATAGAAGAGGAAAATGGGGTACCTCTGCAATCGCTGCAATCACCGCCAAGCCCCTATCAACACCATGTTCCTATCACCACCATGCTCCCATCACTACCATATGACCCCTATCACCATCATGCCCCTATCACCGCTATGCCCCTATCACCACCATGTTCCTATCTCCACCATGCACTTATCACCACCATGTGACCTCTATCACCACGACATTCCTATCACCACCATATGACCCCTATCACTACCATATGAACCCTATCACCACCATATGAACCCTATCACCACCATATGAACCCTATAACCACCATGCTCCCATCACCATTAAATGACCCATATCACCACCATGTTCCTATCACTACCATGCCCCTATCACCACCATGCCTCTATCACCACCATGCCCCTATCACCACCATGCCCCTATCACCACCATGTTTCTATCACCACCATACCCCTAACACCACAAAGCCCCTATCACCACCATGTTCCTATCACCACCATGCCCCTATCACCACCATGCCCTTATCACCACCATGCTCCTATCACCACTATGCCCCTAACACCACAATGTCCCTATCACCACCATGTTCCTATCACCACCATGCCCCTAACACCACAATGTCCCTATCACCACCATGTTCCTATCACCACCATGCTCCTATCACCACCATGTTCCTATCACCACCATGCCCCTATCACCACCATGCCCATATCACCACCATGCCCCTAACACAACAATGCCCCTATCACCACCATGCCTCCAACACCACCATGTCCCTATCACCACCATGCCCCTAAAACCACCATGCCCCTATCACCACCTTGCCCCTAACACCACCATGCCCCTAACACCACCATGTCCCGATCATCACCATGCCCCAATCACCATCATGCCCCCAACACTACTATGTTCCTATCACCACCATGCCCTTTTCACCACCCTGCCCTTTTCACCGCCCTGCCCCTAATACCACCATGCCCCTATCACCACCATGCCCCTATCACCACCATGCCCCTATCACCACCATGCCCCTATCACCACCATGCCCCTAACACCACTATGTCCCTATCACCACCATGCCCCTATCACCACCATGCCCCTATCACCACCATGCCCCTAACACCACCATGCCCCTAACACCACCACTCTTGGATTAACAGATGATGTCTAGTCTCCACCCAGACTCACTCTTGGACTAACAGATGAAGTCTAGTCTCCACCCAGACTACTCTTGGATTGACATATGATGTCTAGTCTCCACCCAGACTCACTCTTGGATTGACAGATGATGTCTAGTCTCCACCCGGACTCACTCTTGGATTGACAGATGATGTCTTGTCTCCACCCAGACTCACTCTTGGATTGACAGATGATGTCTAGTCTCCACCCGGACTCACTCTTGGATTAACAGATGATGTCTAGTCTCCACCCAGACTCACTCTTGGATTGACAGATGAAGTCTAGTCTCCACCCAGACTCACTCTTGGACTGACAGATGATGTCTAGTCTCCACCTGGACTCACTTTTGGATTTACAGGTGTTGTCTAGTCTCCACCTGGACTCACTCTGGGACTGACATATGATGTCTAGAGTGACATGGAAGACAGTCGTTGGATACGGTCACTTGAGGAGCAGATTTTTGTGGAGGAACATGATTGCCTACACTAGTGGGCATTCTACATGTTGATGATGATGTTTAGCTCATTGTGTAATTGAATGATAATTGATAGATTCCTGATTGTTTCCTTACACCATCCAGGACAAAGGTCGACTAATGGACGGACTGAAGCATGCCTCCACGATGCTGGGTGAACTACGGACTTCACTGCTGTCTCCCAAAAGCTACTACGAATGTTGTATCCTTTGTTGCTGTTTGTGTGCATCTGTATGATGTTTGTGTACATCTTTGTGATGTTTATGTTTATCTGTGGGATATTTGTGCTCACTTCTTGATGTTTGTATCGTGTGAAGTTTATGTGCATCTGTGGGATGTTTGTGTTCGTCTGTGTGATGTTGTTATGTATTCATCTGTATAATGTGTTTCGGTGTCTTTCTAGAGATGGTTATATTAAAGTCTTAGTCAAATACTTGTGAGTTCATATGGTACATAACACTGCTTAACCTCAGAAAATTGATGGTCCAGTTAGTGTGCACCTGTTGTTGTCAGTCTAGAACTATGGGTAATTGTCAAACTGGCTTATCTCGAGTGGGCTGTTGCCTTGTTCGCATACACACGGAACTGAAACTGAAACAGCATGTGTGTATTCAGTCTGGTCTGAGGATGAAGAATATTGTCTGTTGCTCAGAATGCAGTAATCAGTGTTGGTATGTACCTGGTAATCTGGTAATCCTAGTTTCAGCTTCATAGCAAACGGGTCACCCCACAGATGCTCCGCTCCTGTGCCAACGAAAAACAAATGCAGCTTACAGTGTCACGCCATGCACTCAACTCAGAAGCTGGGCGACGAAACTTGGGTTGGAGACTAAACATCATCTGTCAATCCACTCTTGGATTGACAGATGATGTCTAGTCTCCACCCGGACTCACTCTTGGATTGACAGATGATGTCTTGTCTCCACCCAGACTCACTCTTGGATTGACAGATGATGTCTAGTCTCCACCCGGACTCACTCTTGGATTAACAGATGATGTCTAGTCTCCACCCAGACTCACTCTTGGACTAACAGATGAAGTCTAGTCTCCACCCAGACTCACTCTTGGACTGACAGATGATGTCTAGTCTCCACCTGGACTCACTTTTGGACTTACAGGTGCTGTCATCATCTGTTGTCAAGTCTCCACCCAAGTCCAAGGGCGAAAAAGGTATGTACCTTCATGGTGCTGGTGCCATGTCGTGGGGGGATGGCTTGAGTATCCTAATGACTCTCAGAGCAATGCCAACAGGGAACTTGTTTCCCTGGCAAGTTTAACCATGCCCAACAGATATTGAAAAGAAGAGTCAGACTAAACTATCACCCTGGTCCTCCAGGTTGGGGGTTAGGCAAAGGGTTGGCAACCTATTACCGTAAAAAAAATACTTTGTTACGGAAACAGGAACAAGTGAAATCATTGAACCGGTGGAAAGAAGTAAAGCTTGAAAGATATTTGGTGAAAATTACAGCTGGGGATTAAAGCTGAAAAGAGTAAACAGTCGGAAAGTAAATCTTTTTTCTCGTCAAAACACTCAAAGTGTTGCATGTTGGAATGTGAGAACATTGAATCAAACTGGAAAATTGGAACAAGTTCTTCTTGAGAGGCACCTACACAATGAACATATTTGAGGAATTACAGAATCACATTTGACAGGGACAGGAAAAAGAAACCTCAGTACAGACGACAATCTGGTCAGGTAGAGCTAATAAACAACATAATCTGGTCAGGTAGAGCTGATGAACAACATAATCTGGTCAGGTAGAGCTGATGAACAACATAATCTGGTCAGGTAGAGCTGATGAACAACATAATCTGGTCAGGTAGAGCTGATGAACAACAACATAATCTGGTCAGGTAGAGCTGATGAACAACATAATCTGGTCAGGTAGAGCTGATGAACAACATAATCTGGTCAGGTAGAGCTGATGAACAACATAATCTGGTCAGGTAGAGCTGATGAACAACATAATCTGGTCAGGTAGAGCTGATGAACAACATAATCTGGTCAGGTAGAGCTGATAAACAACATAATCTGGTCAGGTAGAGCTGATGAACAACATAATCTGGTCAGGTAGAGCTGATGAACAACTGACTGAAGGAGTCGCATTCATAATTAAAAAGGGGTTTAACAACACTCTTATAGAATGGAAGCCTGTGAGTGAACGACTTTTGTATGCAAGGTTCAATTCTAGATTTGCTAAATAATCTGTCTTGGTCTGTTATGCACCAACAAAGGATGCAGAAAAGGAGACAAAAGACAGCTTTTACGACAGTCTGCAAACTGATGTATTTGATGTCTTGTGAGACTTGAATGCTCAGGTAGGAAAGGACAATGCAGGGAGGAAGAGAACAATGGGAAAACATGGAACAGGGAAAATGACCAACAACGGAGAGAGATTATGTGACTTCAGCCAATCTAATGACCTAATGATTGGAGGGACACTCCTCCCTCATAAAACAGTTTATAATGTCACATGGAGATCTCCAAATGGACACACGGAAAACCAATTTGACCATATTCTTATAAATGGAAAATGGAGACATTTCCTGCAAGACATCAGAGTACGTAGATCAGCGGATATAGGGAGTAACCATAATTTACATATTTGACCCCCGTGTGGGTTCCGGGGTCCCATTGTGGGGAAGACAAGAATAGACCCACTGCCTCCCCAAAAGCATGTCGTAAGAGTCGACTAATTGGGGAGCTTCCTTTGAAGTCGGAGTGCATCTGCCGGAGAGGCAAGGAACCAACAGTCTGTATTCAAGAGAATGAGATCTGTAAAACTGATGCACACGCAACACTCAGCTTCTGGAGCAGGACTGCAGTTCAGTAGTGGACGAGCAACCAGAACCTTCCGCCAGAGTTTACAGCTGGTGAACGCGAAGAAGAAGAAGAACTTATTGGAAAAATCAGGTTAAAACTAAGGAAAGCTAAAATAGGAGAACAAAAACTGCAGCGATATGATGTAGGAAAATTGCAGGACACACATATCAAACAGCAATTCAAGATAGAACTCAAAAGCAGATTCAGCATTTTACAAAAAGAAACAGAAATGGTAATCGACAAATTTAATGAAGCAGTCAAATTAGCAGAGGATAAAATATTAGGATATAGGCGGGCAAAGAAAGAGGAACGGATTTCCTTAACAACATGGGAGAAAATAGCACAGCGGAAAGATATTAAAAGACAAATGTTAGATGCAAAACCAGCCAGATTGAAAGGAAAATTTTCTCTAGAATATGCACTAAGAACAATGAGGTTAAAAAAGGAGCAAAAGCAGATAAACTTTTGTAAATTGGAAAACTAGTAACAGAAGCAGAGGAAACAGCAAATAAGCAGCACATCAAAACATTGTACAACATAACTAAGAAACTGAAAGGAGATGTGGTATTGCACCAAAATTTGCCTTTAAAAACAAAAAGTGGGAAAATGATTACAGCCAAGAGAAGAAAAAAATTTGAAAGGTGGAAAGAACACTTCCAGGAATTACTAAACTGTCCAAACCCACCTGTACTTGCTGATATATCTAAGGCATAGGAAGACCTACAGATAAGCCTAGAGCCTTTTTCAGAGGCAGAGGTTCGGGAGGCGATTAAAGTTCAAAAAGTTAACAAAGCACCTGGGTGTGATGGAATCTGCCCAGAAATTCTGAAAGTGGAGGAAATTGAAACGCCAAAACTATTGTGTAAAATTTTTCAAGAAATCTGGAACAAAGAAGAAATCACACAGGAGTTGAAAAAGGCTACTATTATTAAATGACCAAAGAAAGGAGATTTAGGAAATTGGAGAGGTATCACATCACTATCTGTAACTAGTAATATCTTTAGCTGGATAATTGCTCAAAGAATGACTCCAGCACTCAGTAGTATAATAAGGTAGGGGCAAGCAGGATTCAGAAAGGGGAAATCATGTATTGATGACATTTTCACGCTGCCTTAAGTAACCAATGGAAAAGCACAGTTTAAATGACCTTTGTGGATTTTGAAAAAGCCTTTGATAGCCTGCATAGGAAATCACTATGGAAGATTTTGCATCACTATGGTGTACCACAGAAGATTTTGCATCACTATGGTGTACCACAGAAGAAAGTACATTTGATCAAAGCTATTTATTTAGAGTTTCAGTGCCAGGTAGTTTGTGAAAATCATGCAACAGAAAGTTTCTTTGTCAACACAGGAGTCAGACAGGGATGCTTACTATCCCCCCTTTTTTTTTCAATTCGGCCACTGACTGGCTGATGAAGGAAGTTACACGAGATAGAAAAAGAGACATCAGGTGTTCACTTACCCCTGTTTTAGAGGATTTGGACAATGCAGATGACATAGGCATCAGGTGGTCACTCACCTCTGTTTTAGAGGATTTGGACAATGCAGATGACATAGGCATCAGGTGGTCACTAACCTCTGTTTTAGAGGATTTGGACAATGCAGATGACATAGGCATCAGGTGGTCACTCACCTCTGTTTTAGAGGATTTGGACAATGCAGATGACATAGGCATCAGGTGGTCACTCACCTCCGTTTTATAGGATGTGGACTATGCAGATGACATCAGCCTTAAATCAAGCCATCATGTGGACACTCAGGACAAGATTGAAAGACTTTCAACAACAGCCCTTAAGATAGGACTCAAAATAAACACCAGTAAAACTAAAGTAATGAGAAATAATTACAAAACAGAAAATCCAACTATCTGAAATGATGAAGCAACAGAGGAAGTTGAAGAATTGATACACCTCGGAAGTAAAGTTACTCCAGATGGAGATTCTGAAAAGAATGTAACATCAAGAATGAACAAAGCAAATCAAGCATTTTCCATGCTTAACAATATATGGAAGTCAAAGGGATTTAGTTTAAAGACAAAACTCGGAATATTCAAGAGCAACATTTTAGGAATACTGTTATACAACAGTGAATATTGGAAAATGACAGTGGGAATTACACATCAACTTTAGACTTTGCAAAATAAATGTTTAAGGAGAATTCTACAAATATTTTGGCCAGACAAGATCACAAATGAAGAACTGAGGAGGAAAACAGAATGTGCATCACTGGCAAATGTTATCACAGTAAGACAATGGAGATGGCTTGGAAATGTTTGCAGAATGCCTTGTGACACTCTAGCAGAAACAGCTCTCCGGTGGTCAGCAGATGGGACACGGAGACATGGACGACCTAGGAAACCTGAAGAGGGACAATAGAACGGGAAATGAAGGAATGTAAACTGACATGGGATAATATAGACAGAAAAGCAGCAGACCGGCAGATCATCTGTGAATGCCTTATGTGTCAACGACGTCATGAAGAGGATATAGATAGATATACCTTCTTGATATCCCAGATAGTTGTCTTTCTTTAACTTCTTGGTGACATTCACCTCTCTTGCTGGCAAGTTTTTCTGTTTCTTCTTTTCCTGATGCTTCACAGTCAGATGGTACCAGTGTCCCCATTGTTGCTTCATATCAGTGTCATGGAAGCAGTATACTTTGGCCTCGTCAAATGTCACACAGGTTTAAACAGAATATTATTAAACACAAGGCTCCTCTGCAACTGGTACTATTAGCATTACATCTCTTAATTGGTTACCGAAGAAGGGGATGGAGTGTAATTATGTCAATTCTTGATTGATTTCTTCATTCATTGTTATCGAAGAAGGGGATGGAGTGTAATTATGTCAATTCTTGATTGATTTCTTCATTCATTGTATGTTAGTACACATCTGTCTGTTTCGTGGGTTTTTGTTGGGGAGATATCTGACCTCCGTGTTGAGCAATGTCACTGATGTTGTGTTAAACTGGTCTTTCGTCCTGTCCTTGATGTAATTGCAAGATATGGCCATCTCTGATGAGCTGCGGCACTTGGAGATGTACCTGGTGGATGAGTTTCAGAAGGGCAGGAAAGTGGCGGATCTGTACGAGCTGGTTCAGTACGCTGGCAATATTGTACCCAGGCTGTGAGTATGTTTGACTACGAGCTGGTTCAGTACGCTGGCAATATTATACCCAGGCTGTGAGTATGTTTGACTGTACGAACTGGTTCAGTACTCTAGCAATATTGTACCCAGGCTGTGAGTATGTTTGACTGTATGAGCTGGTTCAGTACGCTGGCAATATTGTACCCAGGCTGTGAGTATGTTTGACTGTACAAGCTGGTTCAGTACGCTGGCAATATTGTACCCCGGCTGTGAGTATGTTTGACTGTACGAGCTGGTTCAGTACGCTATCAATATTGTACCCAGCCAGTGAGTATGTTTGACTGTACGAACTGGTTCAGTACGCTAGCAATATTGTACCCAGGCTGTGAGTATGCTTGACTGTACGAACTGGTTCAGTACGCTGGCAATATTGTACCCAGCCAGTGAGTATGTTTGACTATTCGAACTGGTTCAGTACGCTAGCAATATTGTACCCAGGCTGTGAGTATGCTTGACTGTACGAACTGGTTCAGTACGCTGGCAATATTGTACCCAGGCTGTGAGTATGTTTGACTGTACGAACTGGTTCAGTACGCTAGCAATATTGTACCCAGGCTGTGAGTATGCTTGACTGTACAAGCTGGTTCAGTACGCTGGCAATATTGTACCCAGGCTGTGAGTATGTTTGACTGTACGAACTGGTTCAGTACGCTGGCAATATTGTACCCAGGCTGTGAGTATGTTTGACTGTACGAGCTGGTTCAGTACGCTGGTAATATTGTACCCAGGCTGTGAGTATGTTTGACTGTACAAGCTGGTTCAGTACGCTGGCAATATTGTACCCCGGCTGTGAGTATGTTTGAGTGTTTGTGAGTTTGTTCAGTACGCTGGCAATATTGTACCCAGGCTGTGAGTTTGTTTGACTGTACAAGCTGGTTCAGTACGCTGGCAATATTGTACCCCGGCTGTGAGTATGTTTGACTGTTTGTGAGTTTGTTCAGTACGCTGGAAATATTGTACCCAGGCTGTGAGTTTGTTTGACTGTATGAGCTGGTTCAGTACGCTGGCAATATTGATTGTACCCAGGTTGTGAGTTTGTTTGACTGTACGAGCTGGTTCAGTACGCTAGCAATACTATACTGTCTGGGACACTGACCCAATCACTCTGTTTACAGATAACTCTCTGGGACACTGACCCAATCACTCTGTTTACAGATAACTCTCTGGGACACTGACCCAATCACTCTGTTTACAGATAACTCTCTGGGACACTGATCCAATCACTCTGTTTACAGATAACTCTCTGGGACACTGACCCAATCACTCTGTTTACAGATAACTCTCTGGGACACTGACCCAATAACTCTGTTTACAGATAACTCTCTGGGACACTGACCCAATCACTCTGTTTACAGGTACCTGTCTGGGATACTGACCTAATCACTCTTGTTTACAGATACCTGTCTGGGACACTGACCCAATCACTCTGTTTACAGGTACCTGCCTGGGACACTGACCCAATCACTCTGTTTACAGGTACCTGTCTGGGACACTGACCCAATCACTCTGTTTACAGGTACCTGTCTGGGACACTGACCCAATCACTCTGTTTACAGATACCTGTCTGGGACACTGACCCAATCACTCTGTTTACAGGTACCTATCTGGGACACTGACCCAATCACTCTGTTTACAGATACCTGTCTGGGACACTGACCCAATCACTCTGTTTACAGATACCTGTCTGGGACACTGACCCAATCACTCTGTTTACAGATACCTGTCTGGGACACTGACCCAATCACTCTGTTTACAGATAAATGTCTGGGACACTGACCCAATCACTCTGTTTACAGGTACCTGTCTGGGACACTGATCCAATCACTCTGTTTACAGATACCTGTCTGGGACACTGACCCAATCACTCTGTTTACAGATACCTGTCTGGGACACTGACCCAGTCACTCTGTTTACAGATACCTGTCTGGGACACTGACCCAGTCACTCTGTTTACAGATACCTGCTGATAACTGTTGGCACTGTGTACATCAAGTCCAACGAACTGTCCCGCAAGGATATCCTCAAGGACCTGGTGGAGATGTGCCGTGGTGTGCAGCATCCTTTACGAGGCCTCTTTCTGAGGAACTACCTGCTGCAGTGTACTAAGAATGTGCTGCCAGACAGTGTGGAGGATCAGAGGTATAGCCAGTTGTTGCTCTTGCTTTCAGTCCTTTATTAGAGTGTTGTCTCTTTGTTTAACAGTGATGTCGTACAGAGTACAGTCTTAATTGATTGTGTCATTCAAATGACTCCAGTTTGTGTGTGATTGTCTCATTCAAATGACTGTAGCTTGTGTGTGATTGATTGTCTCAGTCAGTTGACTCCAGCTTGTGGGTTATTGATTGTCTCAGTCATGTGACTGCTGCTTGTGTGTGTTTTGTGCTGTCTGTCAAGTGACCCCAGTCTATGTGTCTTGTATGTTGTACTGTTTCACTTACACACTGGACACTGAAGAATCAACAAAAACTCAGGTTTACTAGGTATGGCACTCACTGTGTGGGTTCTGGGGCTCATTGTGAGGAAAACAACAATAAACCCACAGCCTCCCCACAACCTTCTCACGGCCTCCCCACAGCCTTCCCACGCCTCCCCAAGGCCTCCCCACAGCCTTTCCACAGCCTCCCCACAGCAAGCCTCTTTTAGGAGTTGACTAACTGGGAGCTTCATTCGAGGTCAGAGCGGCAAGAAACAGTTACATGCACACAAAGCCAGAAAAATGGATGTACATGCAAAACTCAGGCCCTGGCACAAAGCTCAAGTCCAAATGGATGAACAAACAGGACTTTCCCCTGGAGCTTACAGCAGTCAAAAATGAAGGAGGAGCCAGACAGCTCTCTGCGAGTGTCTTCATATTGAACAGACTCCAGAACATGGCTGGCAAGACTGCTCTTTTCTGAAGGAGATGCAAATCAGGCCCAGTCACCCTGACAACCAAGCTTTGAGAAAGCCTGAAAGACCTGAAACTGACATTGCAGTTTATGGGCACAGTGGATTAAGCTCATGACTAGAGATTGCTGAAGATGAAGAAATACTGCCTCAGTCATATGACCCGACCTTTGGTGCTGTCTCAGTCTAGTGACCCCCCAACTTGTTAGTATGTCATGTATAAGTCTAGTGACCGCCAACTTGTCAGTATGTCATCTATAAGTCTAGTGACCCCCCAACTTGTCAGTATGTCATGTATAAGTCTAGTGACCCGCCAACTTGTCAGTATGTCATGTATAAGTCTAGTAACCCACCAACTTGTCAGTATGTCATGTATAAGTCTAGTGACCCCCCAACTTGTTAGTATGTCATGTCTAAGTCTAGTGACCGCCAACTTGTCAGTATGTCATGTATAAGTCTAGTAACCCACCAACTTGTCAGTATGTCAGGTATAAGTCTAGTGACCCACCAACTTGTCAGTGTGTCATGTCTAAGTCTAGTGACCACCAACTTGTCAGTATGTCATGTATAAGTCTAGTGACCTCCCAACTTGTTAGTATGTCATGTATAAGTCTAGTGACCTGCCAACTTGTCAGTGTGTCATGTATAAGTCTAGTGACCACCAACTTGTCAGTATGTCATGTATAAGTCTAGTGACCTCCCAACTTGTTAGTATGTCATCTATAAGTCTAGTGACCCGCCAACTTGTCAGTATGTCATGTATAAGTCTAGTGACCCCCCAACTTGTCAGTATATCATGTATAAGTCTAGTGACCCACCAACTTGTCAGTGTGTCAGGTATAAGTCTAGTGACCCGCTCCAACTTGTCAGTATGTCATGTCTAGTGACCCCGCAACTTGTCAGTGTGTCATGTATAAGTCTAGTGACCCCCCCCCCCCCCCCCCTAAATTGTCAGTCTATCATGTATAAGTCTAGTGACCCGCCAACTTGTCAGTGTGTCATGTATAAGTCTAGTGACCCACCAACTTGTCAGTCTGTCATGTATAAGTCTAGTGACCCCCCAACTTGTCAGTCTGTCATGTATAAGTCTAGTGACCCACCAACTTGTTAGTATGTCATCTATAAGTCTAGTGACCCACCAACTTGTCAGTCTGTCATGTATAAGTCTAGTGACCCCCCAACTTGTCAGTCTATCATGTATAAGTCTAGTGACCCACCAACTTGTCAGTCTGTCATGTATAAGTCTAGTGACCCACCAACTTGTCAGTCTGTCATGTATAAGTCTAGTGACCCCCCAACTTGTCAGTCTGTCATGTATAAGTCTAGTGACCCCCCAACTTGTCAGTATGTCATCTATAAGTCTAGTGACCCACCAACTTGTTAGTATGTCATCTATAAGTCTAGTGACCCACCAACTTGTTAGTATGTCATCTATAAGTCTAGTGACCTCCCAACTTGTTAGTATGTCATCTATAAGTCTAGTGACCCACCAACTTGTCAGTATGTCATCTATAAGTCTAGTGACCTCCCAACTTGTCAGTATGTCATCTATAAGTCTAGTGACCCACCAACTTGTCAGTCTGTTATGTATAAGTCTAGTGACCCGCCAACTTGTCAGTCTGTCATGTATAAGTCTAGTGACCCACCAACTTGTCAGTCTGTCATGTATAAGTCTAGTGACCCACCAACTTGTCAGTGTGTCATGTCTAAGTCTAGTGACCCACCAACTTGTCAGTGTGTCATGTCTAAGTCTAGTGACCCACCAACTTGTCAGTGTGTCATGTATAAGTCTAGTGACCCACCAACTTGTCAGTATGTCATGTATAAGTCTAGTGACCCACCAACTTGTCAGTATGTCATGTATAAGTCTAGTGACCCACCAACTTGTCAGTATGTCATGTATAAGTCTAGTGACCCACCAACTTGTCAGTATGTCATGTATAAGTCTAGTGACCCACCAACTTGTCAGTATGTCATGTATAAGTCTAGTGACCCACCAACTTGTCAGTATGTCATCTATAAGTCTAGTAACCCGCCAACTTGTCAGTATATCATGTATAAGTCTAGTAACCCCAAGTTAATGAATCAGGTTTGGAAACAGATATAGCAGCACATGAATGGATACATCCTGTTGGAACTGGCAAGGGATGGAGAAGCATGAACACACAAGCCAAATGGCCAAGCATTGTGACCTCAGGAATGATGCTGACTGGCCTTCCCAAGGGCAGATCTAAAATTGTGGATCATATGTAGAGACACTGTTGTTATCTTGTTGGTTGCCTTAGGGACTTTCAGAAACACAGCAGCTGGTTGTCTGGGGGACCTTTAGAAACACAGCTGCTGGTTGTCTGGGGGACCTTTAGAAACACTACCGGTTGTCTTAGAGACCTTTAGAAACACAGCAGCTGGTTGTCTGGGGGACCTTTAGAAACACAGCTGCTGGTTGTCTGTGGGGACCTTTAGAAACACAGCTGCTGGTTGTCTTTGAGACCTTTAGAAACACAGCTGCTGGTTGTCTGGGGGACCTTTAAAAACACAGCTGCTGGTTGTCTGGGGGACCTTTAGAAACACAGCTGCTGGTTGTCTGGGGGACCTTTAGAAACACAGCTGCTGGTTGTCTTAGGGACCTTTAGAAACACAGCTGCTGGGTGTCTGGGGGACCTTTAGAAACACAGCTGCTGGTTGTCTTAGGGACCTTTAGAAACACAGCTGCTGGTTGTCTGGGGGACCTTTAGAAACACAGCTGCTGGTTGTCTGGGGGACCTTTAGAAACACAGCTGCTGGTTGTCTTAGAGACCTTTAGAAACACAGCTGCTGGTTGTCTGGGGGACCTTTAGAAACACAGCTGCTGGTTGTCTTAGGGACCTTTAGAAACACAGCTGCTGGTTGTCTTAGGGACCTTTAGAAACACAGCTGCTGGTTGTCTTAGGGACCTTTAGAAACACAGCTGCTGGTTGTCTGGGGGACCTTCAGAAACATGGCTGCTGTTTTATTGGTTGTCTGGGGGACCTTCAGAAACATGGCTGCTGTTTTATTGGTTGTCTGGGGGACCTTCAGAAACATGGCTGCTGTTTTATTGGTTGTCTGGGGGACCTTCAGAAGCACAGCTGCTGGTTGTCTGGGGGACCTTCAGAAACATGGCTGCTGTTTTATTGGTTGTCTGGGGGACCTTCAGAAACATGGCTGCTGTTTTATTGGTTGTCTGGGGGACCTTAAGAAACATGGCTGCTGTTTTATTGGTTGTCTGGGGGACCTTCAGAAACACAGCTGCTGGTTTTCTTACTGGTTGTCTGGGGGTCCTTCTGAAACACAGCTTCTGAGTGTCTTGCTGGTTGTCTGGGGGACATTCAGAAAGGTGTTCATCACAGTCTGGCTGCTGGGGCTGATTAGACAGAACTGCTAGTTATTAAATGTGAATGAGTGAGTTGTGACATGTGAATGTTTAAGTTAGTGAATGTGAATGAGTTAGTTATGACATGTGAATGTTTGAGTTATTGAATGTGAATGAGTGAGTTATGACATGTGAATGTTTAAGTTAGTGAATGTGAATGAGCGAGTTATGACATGTGAATGCTTAAGTTATTGAATGGGAATAAGTGAGTTATGACATGTGAATGTTTAAGTTATTGAATGAGTGAGTTATGACATGTGAATGTTTAAATAAGTGATGTGAATGAGTGAGTTGTGACATGTGAATGTTCAAGTTAGTGAATGTGAATAAGTGAGTTGTGACATGTGAATGTTTGAGCCATTGAACTTGAATGTAATATATTTCTTCTTTCTGTAGTAATGAGAGTTCTGGTGGTGAATCGGGTACAGTAATGGATTCGGTGGATTTCATTCAGCTCAACTTTGCTGAGATGAACAAGTTGTGGGTGCGGATGCAACACCAAGGCCACTCCCGAGACCGGGAGCGGAGGGAGAATGAGAGACGGGAACTGAGGATCCTGGTGGGCACCAACCTGGTCCGCCTGAGCCAGCTGGAGTGTATTGATGTGACCAAGTTCAAGCAGGTGTGTGGTGGCATACTATATCTTATTGTCTGTCTCTTAAAGCAGACTTATCTTGTCTGTCTCTTGTCTGACAGATCTGTATCGATGGGACCAAGTTCAAGCAGGTGTGTGGTGGCATACTATTTCTTGTTATTTCTCTTAGGGACTAGTGCTCTCTCACACTCTCACTCTCTCTCTTGTCTGACAGATCTATACCAAGTTTCTCTCCTCCCCCCCTCTCTCTCTCACACACACACATGCACACATGTGCACGCACGCACACGCATACACATCAGACAGATCTGTATTGATGTGGCTAAGTTCAGGCATCATGGCAGACTTGTCCTGTTGTTCTGGTCTGAAAGATTTGATCTCAATGATTAGTTTGCTTGCCTTCCTGTAAACTTTCAAGTTATCTTCACTACACTCCGGACAGAGATGTTTAGACATCCCCTGTCAGACATCCCCTGTAAAACATCCCCTGTCAGACATCCCCTGTAAAACATCCCCTGTCAGACACCCCCTGTAAAACATCCTCTGTTAGACATCCCCTGTTAGACATCCCCTGTCAGACATCCCCTGTCAGACACCCCCTGTAAAACATTCCCTGTCAGACATGACATCCCATGTCAGACATCCCCTGTAAGACATCCCCTGTCAGACACCCCCTGTAAAACACCCCTTGTAAAACATCCCCTGTAAAACATCTCCTGTCAGACATCCCCTGTAAAACATCCCCTGTAAAACATCTCCTGTAAAACATCTCCTGTCAGACATCCCCTATTAGCACCTCATGTGTAATAGTGCCAGTCCTGTGCTGGTTGACAGGACTTCTCATACCTCCAGTGTGCCTCTCATGCCTTGCTGTGATGATTTTTACTCCAACTTTCACATTGCCAGCAGCGACATGGACACATTAATAGAAAAATGTCCCCCAAACATGCTGTGATTCCAGCCATGTTTGAAGGGAAAGAACTTGTATGAGGTAAAAAGTCTGGTTTGAAGGGAAAGAACTTGTGTGAGATATAAAGTCTTGGTTTGAAGGAAGAGAGCTAATGTGAGGTATAAAGTCTGGATTGAACGGAGAGAGCTAGTGTGAGGTATAAAGTCTGGGTTGAAAGGAGAAAGCTAATGTGAGCTATAAAGTTTGGGTTAAAGGGAGAGAACTAGTTTGAGGTATAAAGTCTGGGTTGAAAGGAGAGAGCTAATGTGAGGTATAAAGTCTGGGTTGAAGGGAGAGAGCTAGTGTGAGCTATAAAGTTTGGGTTAAAGGGAGAGAACTAGTTTGAGGTATAAAGTCTGGGTTGAAAGGAGAGAGCTAATGTCAGCTATAAAGTCTTGGTTAAAGGGAGACAACTAGTGTGAGGTATAAAGCCTAGTTTAAAGGGAGAGAAATAGTGTGAGGTATACAGTCTGGGTTGAAGAGTGAGAGCTAGTATGAGGTTTAAAGTCTGGGTTGAAGGGAGAGAACTAGTTTGAGGTATAAAGTCTGTGTTGAAGGGAGAGAACTAGTGTGAGGTATACAGTCTGGGTTGAAGAGTGAGAGCTAGTGTGAGGTATAAAGTCTGGGTTGAAGGGAGAGAACTAGTGTGAGGTATAAAGTCTGGGTTGAAGGGAGAGAACTAGTGTGAGGTATAAAGCCTAGTTTAAAGGGAGAGAACTAGTATGAGGTATACAGTCTGGGTTGAAGAGTGAGAGCTAGTGTGAGGTATAAAGTCTGGGTTGAAGGGAGAGAACTAGTGTGAGGTATAAAGTCTAGGTTGAAGGGAGAGAACTAGTGTGAGGTATAAAGTCTAGGTTGAAGGGAGAGAACTAGTGTGAGGTATAAAGTCTAGGTTGAAGGGAGAGAACTAGTGTGAGGTATAAAGTCTGGTTTGGGTGGTGGAATAGAGAGAGAGTATGCGGTATAAATGTTTGAGGGATGTGGAAGTCTTGTTTGCAATAACTAACAATGTCATCTCTATCTGCAGTATGTGCTGCCTGGAGTCTTGGAACAAGTGGTCAATTGTAAGGATGCCATTGCCCAGGAGTACCTCATGGAGTGTATCATTCAGGTATATTTTATAATGGAAATAAACTTTCCGTCCTTTTTAGAACCAAATTTTTCGTTATTTGAAGCCCTGCTCTGGCTTTTGCCAGGGGCCGCAATATAGCCTGGCCATAAATATGGCCTAAAGGCTGAACATGGTTTCTGGGACCTCTCTACGGTGATCCTTATCCACATGGTGGCACTTTGTGTCATTGGGTGTTTTTCGTATGATGACCTGGTGGGGTAGAAAGTTAGTCAGTATTTTTCATTTCTGTGATGTGTCTCTCAGACCATGTATTGTTATGTCTTCATATCTCAAGTCCTGTAACAAGTATATTCTGTTTTTTAATCAGTAACTCATTCCACTAATCAGTGAAACAATATGTTTGTGTGATCCAGTAATCAGTGAGCTGTGGTGGTGTTGTGTGATCCAGTAATCAGTGAGCTGTGGTGGTGTTGTGTGATCCAGTAATCAGTGAGCTGTGGTGGTGTGTGATCCAGTAATCAGTGAGCTGTGGTTGTGTTGTGTGATCCAGTAATCAGTGAGCTGTGGTGGTATTGTGTGATCCAGTAATCAGTGAGCTGTGGTGGTGTTGTGTGATCCAGTAATCAGTGAGCTGTGGTTGTGTTGTGTGATCCAGTAATCAGTGAGCTGTGGTGGTGTTGTGTGATCCAGTAATCAGTGAGCTGTGGTTGTGTTGTGTGATCCAGTAATCAGTGAGCTGTGGTTGTGTTGTGTGATCCAGTAATCAGTGAGCTGTGGTTTTGTTGTGTGATCCAGTAATCAGTGAGCTGTGGTGGTGTTGAATCAGTACACCTGCTGAGTACAGTTTTCTGCTCTCATTCACAAGTGTTTCCTGTTTGCCCAGGTGTTCCCTGATGAGTTCCATCTACAGTCTCTGAGTTCCTTCCTGAGAGCTTGTGCTGAGCTGCATCCCAATGTCAACGTCAAGAACATCATCATTGCATTGATAGATAGGTGAGGCGGCCCTTTCAAAGAACATCATCATTGCATTGATAGATAGGTGAGGCGGCCCTTTCAAAGAACATCATCATTGCATTGATAGATAGGTGAGGCGGCCCTTTCAAAGAACATCATCATTGCATTGATAGATAGGTGAGACGGCCCTTTCAAAGAACATCATCATTGCATTGATAGATAGGTGAGACGGCCCTTTCAAAAAACATCATCATCGCATTGATAGATAGGTGAGGCGACCCTTTCAAAGAACATCATCATTGCATTGATAGATAGGTGAGACGACCCTTTCAAAGAACATCATCATTGCATTGATAGATAGGTGAGACGGCCCTTTCAAAGAACATCATCATCGCATTGATAGATAGGTGAGGCGGCCCTTTCAAAGAACATCATCATTGCATTGATAGGTGAGGCGACCCTTTCAAAGAACATCATCATTGCATTGATAGATAGGTGAGGCGACCCTTTCAAAGAACATCATCATTGCATTGATAGATAGGTGAGGCGACCCTTTCAGTGTTGGAGTGAGCCATCTCAGTGACATATAGTAGATATGTGAGGTTGTTGGTGTGGCCGATTTGTAAGGGTCTGATGTGTTGGGGTAATATGTTGTTGTGGTGGATATGTGAAGATATGCGAGGGTAATATGTTGTTGTGGTAGAAATGTGAAGATATGCGAGGGTAATATGTTGTTGTGGTGGATATGTGAAGATATGTGAGGGTAATATGTTGTTGTGGTAGAAATGTGAAGATATGCGAGGGTAATATGTTGTTGTGGTGGATATGTGAAGATAAGTGAGGGAGATATGTTGGTGTGGCACATTTGTAAGTTTGATATGTGATGGTGATATGTTGGTATGGTGGATTTTTAAAGGTGATATGTTGATGTGGTGGATATGTGAGAGTGGTTGTTGGTGTGTGTGATATGTGAGAATGATATGTTGATGTGTGTGATATGTTGGTGTGGTGATATTTTGATGTTTGTGACATGTGAGACATTTTTGCTGTATGTGCTATGTGAGGTGATATGTTGGTGTGTGGGATATGATGCTATGTTGATGTGTGTGGTATGTAAGAGTGATATGTTGATGTGTGGATATGGGGGAGATATATGTTGATACTTATGATATATGAGAGAGATTGTTGGTGTGTGTGTGATGTGAGGATGATATGTGATGATGATATGTTGGTATTGTGGATATGTGAATATGATTTATTGGTGTGTGTGACATGTGAGGGTGATATGTTAGTGTGTGTATGATATGTGAAGGTGACATATTGGTGTGATATGTTGATCTATGTGTGTGTATGATATGTGAGGGTGATATGTTGGTGTGTGTATGATATGTAAGGGTGATATGTTGGTGTGTGTATGCTATGTGAGTGTGATATATTAGTGTATGTGATATATGAGAGTGATATATTAGTATGTCTGTGTGATATTTGAGGGTGAAATATGATGTAGAAATCTCATCTAGAATGTCGATTGCATGTTTTTTTCCCACAGGTTGGCTGCATTTGCTCAGAATGAGGAAGGTTCTGGTATCCCTCCAGAGATCCAACTGTTTGATATCTTCTCCCAGCAGATCTCTCAAGTGATCCAGGTGAGGCCACATTGACACATCTCAGCTTTGGTCATCTCATGTTTGTTTTTATGCATTTATTTCACCATGAACGTCTGAGCCTTGTTGACATGATCTGCTGGTGTCAACTCACCTGTTCCTGTTAGATGTGATTGTTTTTGATGATACTGGGTCAGATATATTCACAAGTTGAACACAATTTTATCCTAAAAAGGTTAACCTGGAATAGAATGAATGTTTCTGCAAAATAGCAGGACTAGGAGTTCTGCTGACCTGCGTTACTTCAGTTTTAGTTGTATTTATTTTCATGCTAAATCTCCTAGCCCACAACAGCAAACACAAAAATACCTTTGAATTGCAAGAAACAGATTTTTGTAAGTGAAACCTGTCAGATGTGTACCTATTTGAGCACATGCATTATTTAGCTTTATTTGGTTCTCTCTGCGTCTCTGTCTGTGTCAAAAACTGTAAACGTTGTCTCTGCACCATATCTCAGCCTGTGTGATTGTTCATAATATTGTTCTTGAAACATGGGTAGCATGCCTTGGACTTCCACTTACATAGAGGAGAGTCAGTGTGTGCTGTTCTGAAGTCAGTGACATGTTGTGTTGACAGAGTCGGCCAGACATGCCTCCGGAGGACATCGTCTCCCTGCAGGTGGCCCTCATCAACCTGGCCCTCAAATGTTACCCGGACAAGGTGGACTATGTGGACAAAGTCCTGGAGACCACAGAGGACATTTTCAACAGGCTCAACTTGGACCAGTAAGTTGTGCCTCCGACCTCTTATCTGTGATCTTTTTTCTACTGTTCTTGTGTTTTCTTGGATTCCTGAACTGTTCTTTTGTTGTCTTGGGTTCCTCATCTGTTCCCTGGTTGTCCTAGGTTCCTCATTGTTCCCTGGTTGTCCTGGGTTCCTCATCTGTTCCCTGGTTGTCCTGGGTTCCTCATCTGTTCGATGGTTGTCTTGGGTTCCTCATCTGTTCCCTGGTTATCTTGGGTTCCTCTTCTGTTCCCTGGTTGTCTTGGGTTCCTCATCTGTTCCCTGGTTGTCTTGGGTTCCTCATCTGTTCCCTGGTTATCTTGGGTTTCTCACCTGCTCTCTTAGGGATCATGTTTACACTTGTCTGTCTTGTACTCATAATATTATGTGTTGGTTGATTTCGAGGGTTCTGAATCGAGAACACTGGAACTAGCTGCTCATGGGGATAATCAGTAGAGGTACCTTAAGATGGCTGCTGTATGCAAGGACTTAGCACATGGGTGAATATCTGATGTGCAGTAATACTGATCATGATAACATAACTAAATATTGTATTGTAACTGTCACATGTCAGGCAACCATGACAACATGTCACATACACAGATAAACGCTATGACAGGATATATCCCTCGCCAATTACCCTTAAAAGATTGGTTGACACATTACTTTGTGGTTTACAGCTAGGCTGTGGATATGTCAACCTGTCAGCCAGACACATCTAACTGCAGCAGATCTTTAATTATTAGCCTGTTCTGACATGTTTGTAAAGGGGCAGTTGCTCAATTTTGTTTCCCTGGAATGCACAGGAAGTATGTAACACGTATCCTCATGTTTCCCTGGAATGCACAGGAAGTATGTAACACGTATCCTCATCTCCACATGCACACCTTGGTGTGAAATCTGCATGAACTCAGTGTGAGTGGCTGCAAGGCAAACAGAACTGAGACATGGACTTCTGCTTGGCATCTGGTCTCTGTGCATGTGGAGAACTTTTGTTAACTATGTCGCACTAAAAAGCAACATTGATTGTGTTTGCGCCTGTGTTTAGGAGTCAAGATATGAATATAGATACTAAAACTAGCGTTAAGAGGCTTTTGATGTGAATCAGATGGCTTTTTTAAAGCCATATTGGCTTCAGCCTCAGTGATAGAGGTCATAGGGTCACGGCATGAGTCACATATTGTTTGTTTGTTTTATTGCCCAGGGAATGTATTCCAGTTGAGGCTTCATTCTGTTTCTGTTTACTTATTACTGTTTTTGTGTATATAGATTTAGAAATAACAGTTTTATTATTAAACTTGTGCAAATTGGTTGTTTGTAAAGGATGTTATGGGTTTGGCACCTGTTCATGTGACCCACCCCCCTCCCCCCTTTTTTTTTAAAGAGCTGATTATGTGACAGGGTTAACAAGGATCCAGTGTACTGGCTGCAGGAAATAGAGCCGTTGAGCGAATGGGGTCCTTATGTGTAAATTCCATGCACAAGCCTTTATAATGGGATGGATCAGGAGCTAATAAGGGAAGAGCCTTGGAAGAAACCTTAGTGGGATCAGAGTGTGTCTGTGCTAGTGCATTCCAGTCAAGTTGACATTGAGGGGCCAGGGCATACAGGCTCTGCCATTGATTAGGCCCTAGTTGCTAAGAGGGCTGGAACATGATGCCAGGGCATACAGGCTCTGCCATTGATCAGGTCCTAGTGACTAGAAGGGCTGGACCATGATGCCAGGGCATACAGGCTCTGCCATTGATCAGGTCCTAGTGACTAGAAGGGCTGGACCATGAGGCCAGGGCATACAGGCTCTGCCATTGATCAGGCCCTAGTGACTAGAAGGGCTGGACCATGAGGCCAGGGCATACAGGCTCTGCCATTGATCAGGCCCTAGTGACTAGAAGGGCTGGACCATGAGGCCAGGGCATACAGGCTCTGCCATTGATCAGGCCCTAGTGACTAGAAGGGCTGGACCATGAGGCCAGGGCATACAGGCTCTGCCATTGATTAGGTCCTAGTGACTAGAAGGGCTGGACCATGAGGCCAGGGCATACAGGCTCTGCCATTGATCAGGTCCTAATGACTAAGAGGGCTGGACCATGAGACCAGGGCATACAGGCTCTGCCATTGATCAGGTCCTAATGACTAGGAGGGCTGGACCATGATGCCAGGGCATACAGGCTCTGCCATTGATCAGGTCCTAATGACTAGGAGGGCTGGACCATGATGCCAGGGCATACAGGCTCTGCCATTGATCAGGTCCTAATGACTAGGAGGGCTGGACCATGAGGCCAGGGCATACAGGCTCTGCCATTGATCAGGTCCTAGTGACTAGAAGGGCTGGACCATGAGGCCAGGGCATACAGGCTCTGCCATTGATCAGGCCCTAGTGACTAGAAGGGCTGGACCATGAGGCCAGGGCATACAGGCTCTGCCATTGATCAGGCCCTAGTGACTAGAAGGGCTGGACCATGAGGCCAGGGCATACAGGCTCTGCCATTGATCAGGTCCTAATGACTAGGAGGGCTGGACCATGATGCCAGGGCATACAGGCTCTGCCATTGATCAGGTCCTAGTGACTAGGAGGGCTGGACCATGAGACCAGGGCATACAGGCTCTGCCATTGATTAGGTCCTAATGACTAGGAGGGCTGGACCATGATGCCAGGGCATACAGGCTCTGCCATTGATCAGGCCCTAGTGACTAGAAGGGCTGGACCATGAGGCCAGGGCATACAGGCTCTGCCATTGATCAGGTCCTAATGACTAGGAGGGCTGGACCATGATGCCAGGGCATACAGGCTCTGCCATTGATCAGGCCCTAGTGACTAGAAGGGCTGGACCATGAGGCCAGGGCATACAGGCTCTGCCATTGATCAGGTCCTAATGACTAGGAGGGCTGGACCATGATGCCAGGGCATACAGGCTCTGCCATTGATCAGGTCCTAGTGACTAGGAGGGCTGGACCATGAGGCCAGGGCATACAGGCTCTGCCATTGATCAGGTCCTAATGACTAGGAGGGCTGGACCATGATGCCAGGGCATACAGGCTCTGCCATTGATCAGGTCCTAGTGACTAGAAGGGCTGGACCATGAGGCCAGGGCATACAGGCTCTGCCATTGATCAGGTCCTAATGACTAGGAGGGCTGGACCATGATGCCAGGGCATACAGGCTCTGCCATTGATCAGGTCCTAGTGACTAGGAGGGCTGGACCATGAGGCCAGGGCATACAGGCTCTGCCATTGATCAGGTCCTAATGACTAGGAGGGCTGGACCATGATGCCAGGGCATACAGGCTCTGCCATTGATCAGGTCCTAGTGACTAGAAGGGCTGGACCATGAGGCCAGGGCATACAGGCTCTGCCATTGATCAGGTCCTAATGACTAGGAGGGCTGGACCATGAGGCCAGGGCATACAGGCTCTGCCATTGATCAGGTCCTAGTGACTAGGAGGGCTGGACCATGAGGCCAGGGCATACAGGACCAGATACTATACACTTTTGTTTGTGTTGCTGTGGTAACAGGCCTGACTAACGGGATGTTTCTGCTTGACCTTGTCACAGTGTAGAGCACGGCAGCCCCGTGTCCAAGGAGCTGATGAGACTGATGAAGATTCCTGTGGACACCTACAACAACATCCTGACAGTGCTGGAGCTGCAGCACTTCGGCCCCTTGTTCGAGTACTTTGATTACAAGGGCAGGCAACTCATGAGCTCTCACATTATCACCAATGCCCTGGAGAATGAGACATTGATCCCCGCACAGGAAAATGTGAGTCTGGTTAGCTCTCTATCCCCGCACAGGAGAATGTGAGTCTGGTTAGCTCTCTATCCCCCCACAGGAGAATGTGAGTCTGGTTAGCTCTCTATCCCCACACAGGAGAATGTGAGTCTGGTTAGCTCTCTATTCCCACAAAGGAGAATGTGAGTCTGGTTAGCTCTCTATCCCCGCACAGGAGAATGTGAGTCTGGTTAGCTCTCTATCCCCGCACAGGAGAATGTGAGTCTGGTTAGCTCTCTATCCCCACACAGGAGAATGTGAGTCTGGTTAGCTTTCTATTCCCACACAGGAGAATGTGAGTCTGGTTAGCTCTCTATCCCCACACAGGAGAATGTGAGTCTGGTTAGCTCTCTATTCCCACACAGGAGAATGTGAGTCTGGTTAGCTCTCTATCCCCACACAGGAGAATGTGAGTCTGGTTAGCTCTTTATCCCCGCACAGGAGAATGTGAGTCTGGTTAGCTCTCTATCCCCACACAGGAGAATGTGAGTCTGGTTAGCTCTCTATCCCCGCACAGGAGAATGTGAGTCTGGTTAGCTCTTAATCCCCGCACAGGAGAATGTGAGTCTGGTTAGTTCTCTATCCCCACACAGGAGAATGTGAGTCTGGTTAGCTCTCTATCCCCGCACAGGAGAATGTGAGTCTGGTTAGCTCTCTATCCCCGCACAGGAGAATGTGAGTCTGGTTAGTTTTCTCTCTCTCTGTGTGGCTTCCTCTCCATCTCCCCCCCCTCTCTCTCTCTCTCTCTCTGATATCCTCTCCATCCCCTCTTTCTCTCTCTCTCTGACATCCTCTCCATCCCCCCTCTCTCTCTCTCCGACATCCTCTCCATCCCACCCCTCTCTCTGACATCGTCTGCATCCTCCCCTCTCTCTCTCTGACATCCTCTCCATCCTCCCCTCTCTCTCTCTCACTCTCTGGGTTGTCACACTAGTAGAATGGACTGGGTTGTCACACTGGTTGTATGGACTGGGTTGTCACACTGGTTGTATGGACTTGGTTGTCACACTGGTTGTATGGACTGGGTTGTCACACTGGTTGTATGGACTGGGTTGTCACACTGGTTGTATGGACTGGGTTGTCACACTGGTTGTATGGACTGGGTTGTCACACTGGTTGTATGGACTGGGTTGTCACACTGGTTGTATGGACTTGGTTGTCACACTGGTTGTATGGACTGGGTTGTCACACTGGTTGTATGGACTGGGTTGTCACACTGGTTGTATGGACTGGGTTGTCACACTGGTTGTATTGACTGGGTTGTCACACTGGTTGTATGGACTGGGTTGTCACACTGGTTGTATGGACTGGGTTGTCACACTGGTTGTATGGACTGGGTTGTCACACTGGTTGTATGGACTGGGTTGTCACACTGGTTGTATGTCCAGAATTAATCTTCTTCTTCTTTGCGTTCACCGACTGTAAACTTTGGCGGAAAGATCTGGTTGTTCGTCCACTTCTGGATTGCAGTCCTGTTCCAGAATCTGAGTGGTGCGTGTGCATCCATTTGACAGATCTGACTAATTTGTATGCAGACTGCTGGTTCCTTACCTCTCAGGCAGATGCACTCCGACTTCGATGAAAGCTCCCAATTAGTCGACTCTTAAGACATGCTTTTGAGTAGGCAGTGGGTCTATTCTTATTTTCCCTATAAAAGGGCCCCCGAACCCACGCGGGAATCCAGAATTAATGTGGTCACCCTTACGTCAGCAGTACTTTGTATACTGACGGCCATACGCATCTGCACACGCGCATGCATGCACGCACACTCACACACTCAACTTGATGACACCATCAAGGTAAAAGTAACAGTCAGCATGAGACTCAATGAGTTCATGTTTTCACAGACATCTTTCCTTGTCTTTCTTTGGTTCCCTTGCCTAGTATCTTCCCATATAAATCTCATTTTCCTTTGTCACCTCTTCTGTTGATATTACACTGAGCTGTCACTGTCCTGCAACTGTTGGAGGATGTGTCAGCTGTCACTGTCCTGCAACTGTTGGAGGATGTGTCAGCTGTCACTGTCCTGCAACTGTTGGAGGATGTGTCAGCTGTCACTGTCCTGCAACTGTTGGAGGATGTGTCAGCTGTCACTGTCCTGCAACTGTTTGGAGGATGTGTCAGCTGTCACTGTCCTGCAACTGTTGGAGGATGTGTCAGCTGTCACTGTCCTGCAACTGTTGGAGGATGTGTCAGCTGTCACTGTCCTGCAACTGTTGGAGGATGTGTCAGCTGTCACTGTCCTGCAACTGTTGTAGGATGTGTCAGCTGTCACAGTCCTGCAACTGTTGGAGGATGTGTCAGCTGTCACTGTCCTGCAACTGTTGGAGGATGTGTCAGCTGTCACTGTCCTGCAACTGTTGGAGGATGTGTCAGCTGTCACAGTCCTGCAACTGTTGGAGGATGTGACAGCAGTAGTTTGTGTCTGCTTGTCCAGGTGGACGCCATCCTCAACATTGTCAGCTGTATGGTACAAGATCAGAATGATCAGCCAGAGGAGCCAGACGATCCCGAGGATTTTGCTGAGGAGCAGGGACTCATGGGCAGATTCATACATTTGCTGCAGTCGGAGGACCCAAACCAACAGTTTCTGGTAACTGTTTCTGCTTGTTACGTTTGTTTATTAGTTCATTCAGGCTTGTTATTGTTGTTGTTTGTGTAGTTGACATATGTTCTGGTCAATGTGCCTGATAAATCACTTGGTAAATACTCACTTTCAGCTGCTGTGTCTTTAAAGTGACCTTCCAACATCTGACCCTTTAGGCAAGGGATATATATATATATATATATATATATATATATATATATATATATATATATATATATATATATATATATATATATATATATATATATATATATATATATATATATATATATATATAGATAGATAGAATCGTCACAGTGGTTGTGTATCTAGGATTGTCACACCGTTTGTGTGGCCAGGGTTGTCACACTGGTTGTGTGGCCAGGGTTGTCACACTGATTGTTTGGCAGGGATTGTCACACTGTTTGTGTTGCCAGGATGTTCACACTGGTTGTTTGGCCAGGGTTGTTACACTGGTTGTGTTTTCAGGATTATCATTTTATTTGTGTAATTCTGTAGAAGTTGAGAAAGTTTGGACAAGGTCTCTGGAAGTGTGTCAGATATGTCTGTAAATTGTGAATCATGATGTGGATTGTAATAGGTATGCATCGGAATGGTAGATGTTATAGATATGATTATGTGAGCAGGTTCTCACAATATATGCAATGGAATGATACCTGTCATAGATATGATTATGTGAGCAGGGTCTCACAATATATGCAATGGAATGATACCTGTCATAGTTATGATTATGTGAGCAGGTTCTCACAAAATATGCAAAAGAATGATACCTGTCGTAGTTATGATTATGTGAGCAGGTTCTCACAATATATGCAATGGAATGATACCTGTCATAGATATGATTATGTGAGCAGGTTCTCACAATATGTGCAATAGAATGATACCTGTCATAGATATGATTATGTAAGCAGTTTCTCACAATATTTGCAATAGAATGATACCTGTCATAGATATGATTATGGGAGCAGGTTTTCACAATATGTGCAATAGAATGATACCTGTCGTAGTTATGATTATGTGAGCAGGTTCTCACAATATATGCAATAGAATGATACCTGTCATAGTTATGATTACGTGAGCAGGTTCTCACAATATATGCAATGGAATGATACCTGTCATAGATATGATTATGTGAGCAGGTTCTCACAATATGTGCAATAGAATGATACCTGTCATAGATATGATTATGTGAGCAGGTTCTCACAATATGTGCAATAGAATGATACCTGTCATAGATATGATTATGTGAACAGGTTCTCACAATATGTGCAATAGAATGATACCTGTCATAGATATGATTATGTGAACAGGTTCTCACAATATGTGCAATGGAATGATACCTGTCATAGATATGATTATGTGAACAGGTTCTCACAATATGTGCAATAGAATTATACCTGTCATAGATATGATTATGTGAGCAGGTTCTCACAATATGTGCAATAGAATGATACCTGTCATAGATATGATTATGGGAGCAGGTTTTCACAATATGTGCAATAGAATGATACCTGTCGTAGTTATGATTATGTGAGCAGGTTCTCACAATATATGCAATAGAATGATACCTGTCATAGTTATGATTATGTGAGCAGGTTCTCACAATATATGCAATGGAATGATACCTGTCATAGATATGATTATGTAAGCAGTTTCTCACAATATATGCAATAGAATGATACCTGTCATAGATATGATTATGTGAGCAGGTTCTCACAATATGTGCAATAGAATGATACCTGTCATAGATATGATTATGTGAGCAGGTTCTCACAATATATGCAATAGAATGATACCTGTCATAGATATGATTATGTAAGCAGTTTCTCACAATATATGCAATAGAATGATACCTGTCATAGATATGATTATGTGAGCAGGTTCTCACAATATGTGCAATAGAATAATACCTGTCATAGATATGATTATGTAAGCAGTTTCTCACAATATATGCAATAGAATGATACCTGTCATAGATATGATTATGTGAGCAGGTTCTCACAATATATGCAATAGAATGATACCTGTCGTAGTTATGATTATGTGAGCAGGTTCTCACAATATATGCAATAGAATGATACCTGTCGTAGTTATGATTATGTGAGCAGGTTCTCAAAATATATGCAATAGAATGGTACCTGGCATAGATATGATAGAATGATACCTGCAATAGAATCTGTTACCTTGTTTAAAAAAAAAGAAAAGAAAAAAAAAAGGTCCCTTTACATGCCAAAAGTAGACTCATATTTTGATAGAGCAGTCGGCCCTCAAGGGTCAACATAACATCGGCCACCTTAACTTTCCATGGCTTTACCTGGTAAGCTGAGTCTGTTAGATTTCTGACCAGATACTGATCCTCTGACTTGTCTGTTAAATTTCTGACCAGACACTGATCCTCGGACTTGTCTGTTAGATTTCTGACCAGACACTGATCCACTGACTTGTCTGTTAGATTTCTGACCAGACGCTGATCCTCGGACTTGTCTGTTAGATTTCTGACCAGACGCTGATCCTCGGACTTGTCTGTTAGATTTCTGACCAGACGCTGATCCTCGGACTTGTCTGTTAGATTTCTGACCAGACGCTGATCCTCGGACTTGTCTGTTAGATTTCTGACCAGACACTGATCCACTGACTTGTCTGTTAGATTTCTGACCAGACGCTGATCCTCGGACTTGTCTGTTAGATTTCTGACCAGACGCTGATCCTCGGACTTGTCTGTTAGATTTCTGACCAGACGCTGATCCTCGGACTTGTCTGTTAGATTTCTGACCAGACGCTGATCCTCGGACTTGTCTGTTAGATTTCTGACCAGACACTGATCCACTGACTTGTCTGTTAGATTTCTGACCAGACACTGGTCCTCGGACTTGTCTGTTAGATTTCTGACCGGACTCTGATCCTCGGACTTGTCTGTTAGATTTCTGACCAGACGCTGATCCTCGGACTTGTCTGTTAGATTTCTGACCAGACGCTGATCCTCGGACTTGTCTGTTAGATTTCTGACCAGACACTGATCCACTGACTTGTCTGTTAGATTTCTGACCAGACACTGATCCTCTGACTTGTCTGTTAGATTTCTGACCAGACACTGATCCTCGGACTTGTCTGTTAGATTTCTGACCGGACGCTGATCCTCGGACTTGTCTGTTAGATTTCTGACCAGACACTGATCCTCTGACTTGTCTGTTAGATTTCTGACCAGACGCTGATCCTCTGACTTGTCTGTTAGATTTCTGACCAGACACTGATCCTCGGACTTGTCTGTTAGATTTCTGACCAGACACTGATCCTCTGACTTGTCTGAGAAATTAGATATTTGATCCATTACATATAATCTCATCTCATTCTTGTCCTCTTGTGTCTTCTGGCCCGCACTGAGAATCGAACCGGCTTGCTGGGGCTTGTACAGCTGGTTGCTGTACCTGTTAGTCACAGATACAACTCTTGTTAGAGTGAGTATCACAGATGCTCCCAGTGAAGACAGTCAGTGGAGAACTCAGCTCATGGTATCTAGTCCTTCTGAAGACATCAGTGCCCTTACCCCTCCCTGTAAGACAACAGCAGCAACCAAGATGATCTTGCCATGTGATGATCTTGCCATGTGATGATCTTGTGTATGAAGAAACATGTTGTTGTTGCAGATCTTGAACACAGCCAGGAAGCACTTTGGGGCTGGAGGGGACAAGAGGATCAAGTTCACACTTCCGCCGATCGTGTTTGCTGCCTACAGGCTGGCCTTCAGGTACAAGCTGCTGCAGGCCGAGGTAGGTGTACAGCCGAGGGTCAGGTACTTTATCTGCGGAGACATGATTGTAGATGTTTATCTGCAGAGACATGATTGTAGATGTTTATCTGTAAAGACATGATTGTAGATATTTATCTATAGAGATGTTGTCATGTAGACATGATTAAAGATGTTTATCTGTAGACACATGATTGTAGATATTTATCTGTAGAGATGTGATTGTAGATGTTGTCCTGAGGACATGATTGTAGATGTTTATCTGTGAGACATGATTGTAGATATTTATCTTTGGAGATAGGATTGTAGATGTTGTCCTGTGGACATGATCATAGATGTTTTTCTGTAGAGACATGACTGTATATATTTATCTGTAGAGACATGACTGTATATATTTATCTGTAGAGACATGACTGTATATATTTATCTGTAGAGACATGAATGTATATATTTATCTGTAGAGATGTGATTATAGACGTTGTCCTGTAGACATGATTGTACATATTTATCTGTAGAGACATGATTGTAGATATTTATCTGTAGAGATGTGATTGTAGATGTTTATCTATAGAGATATGAATGTATGTATTTATCTGTCAATGATTGTACATATTTATCTGTAGAGACATGATTGTAGATGTTTTCCTGTAGACATGATTGAAGATAATTATCTGTAGAGACGTGATTGTAGATGTTTTTCTTTAAAGATATGATTCTAGATATTTATCTGTAGAGATTTGATTGTAGATGTTGTCCTGTAGACATGATTGTAGATGATTATCTGTAAAGATGTGATTGTAGATATTTATCTGTCAATGATTGTAGATATTTATCTGTAGAGACATGATTGTAGATGTTGTCCTGTAGACATGATTGAAGATGATTATCTGTAGAGATGTGATTCTAGATATTTATCTGTGGAGATGTGATTGTAGATATTTATTGTAGAGACATAATTGTAGATATTTATCTGTAGAGACATGATTGTAGATATTTATTGTAGAGACATGATTGTAGATATTTATCTGTAGAGACAGAATTGTAGATGTTGTCCTGTAGACATGATTGTAGATGATTATCTGTAGAGATGTGATTGTAGATGTTTTTCTGTAGAGACATGATTGTAGATGTTTATCTGTGGAGATGTGACGGTAGATGTTTTATCTGTAGAGATACGAATGTATGTGTTTATCTGTCAATATATTTGTAGATGTTATCCTATAGAGACATGATTGTAGATATTCTCCTTTATTTTTTGTTACTGATACTATTCTGCAGAGATTGTTAAAGGGAGAAGTCAGATTTGTAGTTCTGGAAAGTAAAGGCGGCTGTAGTGATGTTTACCACATCACCCACTAAGTGTTGATTGGTCTGTAAAATATAGTTCTAGCCACATATGCCCAATATGCCTAAAGGCATTGAAAGGCAATGTCCTTTTACTAGAAGAAGGATTACAGATTTTGTCTTGTAGAGAGATGATTTGAAATGTTCATCTATAGACATGATTTGGATGTTTGTCCCTAGAGACATGATTGTAGATATTTTTTGTAGAGACAGAATAATAGATTATTTTAGATAACTTTTCTGCAGAGATTATTGAATGGAGAAGTCAGAATGTCACATTTGCCTTATAAAGAAGCTAGAGCACAGACACTCTCCTGTAGGGAAAGTATTGTATCAATGGTTATATGTCAGTGACCTTGCAGTTGTACAGTTCATTAGCAACATTTATAACATGACAGCAGAGCCAGCTGTAGACGATGTGTTGTGATTGTAGATGATGTGTTGTGATTGTAGATGATGTGTTGTGTTTTGGTTGTAAATGTTGTGTTTTGGTTGTAGATGATGTATTGTGGCTATATGAGTGACACCTGGACATGACAGTGAAGCCACCTGTAGGTGATAACTTGTGTTTATATGAGTGACACCTGGACAGCAGGTGCTTGCTTTGTTATCACAGCCCAATGTTGATTTGTGTTGTGTTCAGGATGACAACTGGGAGAAGAAATGTCAGAAGATCTTCCAGTTTTGCCATCAGACAATTGGAGCTCTGATTAAAGCAGAGCAGGCAGAGATTCCACTTCGGCTGTTTCTACAAGGTGCACTGGTGGCAGGACAGATTGGCTTTGAGAACTCTGAGACTGTTGCTTATGAGTTCTTGTCACAGGTGAGTTGTGGGGCCAGGGTTTGAATAAATCTGTGCAGTCACAGGTGAGTTGTTGGGCCAAGGTTTGAATAAATCTGTGCAGTCACAGGTGAGTTGTTGGGCCAAGGTTTGAGGAAATCTGTGTAGTCACTGGTGAGTTGTTGGGCCAAGGTTTGAGGAAATCTGTGTAGTCACAGGTGAGTTGTTGGGCCAAGGTATGAGGAAATCTGTGTAGTCACAGGTGAGTTGTTGGGCCAAGGTTTGAGGAAATCAGTGCAGTCATAGGTGAGTTGTTGTGCCAAGGTTTGAGGAAATCAGTGCAGTCACAGGTGAGTTGTTGGGCCAAGGTTTGAGGAAATCAGTGCAGTCACAGGTGAGTTGTTGGCCAAGGTTTGAGGAAATCAGTGCAGTCACTGGTGAGTTGTTGGGCCAAGGTTTGAGGAAATCAGTGCAGTCACTGGTGAGTTGTTGGGCCAAGGTTTGAGGAAATCAGTGCAGTCACAGGTGAGTTGTTGGGCCAAGGTTTAAGGAAATCAGTGCAGTCACAGGTGAGTTGTTGGGCCAAGGTTTAAGGAAATCAGTGCAGTCACAGGTGAGTTGTTGGGCCAAGGTTTGAGGAAATCAGTGCAGTCACAGGTGAGTTGTTGGGCCAAGGTTTAAGGAAATCAGTGCAGTCACAGGTGAGTTGTTGGGCCAAGGTTTGAGGAAATCAGTGCAGTCACAGGTGAGTTGTTGGGCCAAGGTTTAAGGAAATCAGTGCAGTCACTAGTAAGTTGTTGGGCCAAGGTTTAAGGAAATCAGTGCAGTCACAGGTGAGTTGTTGGGCCAAGGTTTGAGGAAATCAGTTTAGACACTGATTGAAAGAGTCTGCTATGCCACAGCCAAGGGTAGAGGAGAAATATAACAAGTTTGTGTGTTACCTTGCAGACCTCCTGAATAGCCGAATCAGTCAACAACAACAGACTATAAAGTGGAACTAGGTCAGCTTTACAAAAACATGACAAATGACAAAATGGATGTTGCAGCTAAAAAGCCTTCTTCAGTAGGCAAACAATTGTTTTATGTTAAAAAAAAAAAAAAAAAAAAAACTGAAATATTACAAATGCAATGACCTAGTATTTAGAGTTTGAGCCCTGAAGATATCTGAATATTATGACTCAAACATGAAACTCTGCTCATTAGATAAACGGAGAGGTTGTGATGGGGTGAATGCAGTGAAGTGATTGCAGCATATGTGTATATGTTGGGGTGTTCGAAAGGGAGGAGAGGTGGGTAGTGGGTTAAAACAATGAAGTCTCTGCAGGGAAGGAGAGCGGAATGGGCACAAATCAAAGAAAGGAGAGGGTACGCACACATAGGGTACATGAGGACAAACGATCAACGAATAAATGTTTGTGTTTCAGGCTTTCTCCATTTACGAGGATGAGATCAGCGACAGCAAAGCCCAGCTGTCGGCCATCACTCTCATCATTGCCACCCTGGAGCAGATGTCCTGTTTTGGCGAGGACAATCAGGAGCCCTTGTTTACCCAGTGTGCCCTGGCGGCCTCTAAACTGCTGAAGAAACCTGACCAGTGTCGTGGGGTTGCTATCAGCTCACATCTGTTCTGGTCAGGGAAGTCGCATGCACGTGGTGCAGAAGTAAGTTCAAGGTCTATCTCATATATCTGTCTCTGGGACAGTCTATCTCATATCTTTCTCTGGGACAGTCTATCTCATATCTGTCTTTGGGACAGTCTATCTCATATCTGTCTTTGGGACAGTCTATCTCACATCTGTCTTTGGGACAGTCTTCTCACATATCTTTCTTTGGGACAGTCTATCTCACATATCTGTCTTTGGGACAGTCTATCTCACATATCTGTCATTGGGACAGTCTATCTCACATATCTGTTTTTGGGACAGTCTATGTCACAAATCTGTCTTTGGGACAGTCTATCTCATATCTGTCTTTGGGACAGTCTATCTCACATATCTGTCTTTGGGACAGTCTATCTCATATATGTCTTTGGGACAGTCTATCTCATATATGTCTTTGGGACAGTCTATCTCACATCTGTCTTTGGGACAGTCTGTCTCACATCTGTCTTTGGGACAGTCTGTCTCACATATGTCTTTGGGACAATCTATCTCACATATCTGTCTTTGGGACAGTCTATCTCACATATCTGTCTTTGGGACAGTCTATCTCACATATCTGTTTTTGGGACAGTCTATCTCACATGTCTGTCTTTGGGACAGTCTATCTCACATATATGTCTTTGTGACAGTCTGTTTCAGATATTTGTCTGTGAGACAGTCTATCTCATATATGTCTCTGGCATAGTCTATCTCACATATCTGTCTTTGGGACAATTTATCTCAAATGTCTGTCTTTGGGACAATCTATCTCACATAACTGTCTTTGGGACAGTCTGTCTCACATATCTGTCTCTGGGACAGTCTGTTTTAAATATCTATCTGTGGGACAGTTTATCTCACATATCTGTCTTTTGGACAGTCTCACATATCTGTCTTTGGGACAGTCTGTCTCAACCCACAGGGGTATAGGAATAAAGGAAGGCCAAAAAGCAGACGGAGAGTCTTTGGGAAAGTCTGTCTCACATATCTGTCTTTAGGGCAGTCTGTCTCACATATATGTCTCTGGGACAGTCTATCTTACATATATGTTTCTGGGACAGTTATCTCATACCTGTCTGGGACAATCTATCTCAGGTATCTGTCTCTGAGATAGTCTATCTTATTTCTTACACTGGGACAGTGTATCTCATATTTGTCTCGGATATCTGTCTCATACAGTGCTGAAAGTCTGTGTTAGATGTCTGTCTGTTGTTTTATCATTTAGAGTTAACTGACTTGATCAGTGGTAATATCGTTTTATAATTTGGGAATGGGAATAGACCATGAGACAGAACAAGAAGAAGAGTGGAGAGATAACATACAGGCAAACCTTAGAGAGATAACATACAGGCAAACCTTAGACAGATAACATACAGGCAGACCTTAGACAGATAACATACAGGCAAACCTTAGAGAGATACAGGCAAACCTTAGTGAAAGGCAGTCAGGGAGATAACATACAGGCAAACCTTAGAGAGATAACATACAGGCAAACCTTAGAGAGATAACATACAGGCAAACCTTAGAGAGATAACATACAGGCAAACCTTAGTGAAAGGCAGTCAGGGAGATAACATACAGGCAAACCTTAGAGAGATAACATACAGGCAAACCTTAGACAGATAACATACAGGCAGACCTTAGAGAGATAACATACAGGCAGACCTTAGAGAGATAACATACAGGCAAACCTTAGAGAGATAACATACAGGCAAACCTTAGTGAAAGGCAGTCAGGGAGATATACAGGCAAACCTTAGTGAAAGGCAGTCCAGGAGATAACATACAGGCAAACCTTAGTGAAAGGCAGTCAGGGAGATAACATACATGCAAACCTTAGTGAAAGGCAGTCAGGGAGATAACATACAGGCAGTCAGGGAGATAACATACAGGCAAACCTTAGTGAAAGGCAGTCAGGGAGATAACATACAGGCAAACCTTAGAGAGATAACATACAGGCAAACCTTAGTGAAAGGCAGTCAGGGAGATAAAAGGAGATTCTACAACAAGGAACCTAAGCGACTCGGAATACTAAAGAAGAAAGGCTACAGTGTGAAGACTAGATGTTGTGACAATCTTGTTTGATCATTGACAGCTGCATGATGGCAAGAGAGTCTCTGACTGTCTGAAGAAAGGAGTCAAGATTGCCAACCAGTGCATGGACAGCTCGGTACAGGTCCAACTCTTTGTGGAGCTGCTCAATCATTATGTATATTTCTTTGAGAAGGGCTGCGAGCAGGTAAGTGGTTGGAGAGAGAGAGGAGGAGAGAGAGAGGGAAAGAGAGCTACACATGTTCCTAGAAGCTAGAGTTATTGATAAAAAAATTTTGGGGGGAGAGAGAGAGAGAGAGAAAGAGAGAGAGAGAGAGAGAAGAGAGAGAGAGAGAGAGAGAGAGAGAGAGAGAGAGAGAGAGAGAGAGACTGGGAGATATAGAACGTCAGTTCAAGTGTGTGAGTGTGTTAGAGATATAACATATTCTTGTGGGGGTTAGGTAGGCTGAGAGAGATACAGTACGTCAGTTCAAGTGTGTGAGTGTGTTAGAAATATAACATATTTTTCTGGGGGTTAGGTAGGTTGAGAGAGATACAGTACGTCAGTTCAAGTGTTTGAGTGTGTTAGAGATATAACATATTCTTGTGGGGGTTAGGTAGGCTGAGAGAGATACAGTACGCCAGTTCAAGTGTTTAAGTATATTAGAGATATAACATATTCATCTGGGAGTTAGGTAGGCTGAGAAAGATACAGTACGTCAGTTCAAGTGTGTGAGTATGTTAGAGATATAACATATTCTTGTGGGGGTTAGGTAGGCTGAGAGAGATACAGTACGTCAGTTCAAGTGTTTGAGTATGTTAGAGATATAACATATTCATCTGGGGGTTAGGTAGGCTGAGAGAGATACAGTACGTCAGTTCAAGTGTTTGAGTATGTTAGAGATATAACATATTCATCTGGGGGTTAGGTAGGCTGAGAGAGATACAGTATGTCAGTTCAAGTGTTTGAGTATGTTAGAGATATAACATATTATTCTGGGGGTTAGGTAGGCTGAGAGAGATACAGTACGTCAGTTCAAGTGTGTTAGAGATATAACATATTCATGTGGGGGTTAGGTAGGCTGAGAGAGATACAGTACGTCAGTTCAAGTGTTTGAGTATGTTAGAGATATAACATATTCATCTGGGAGTTAGGTAGGCTGAGAGAGATACAGTACGTCAGTTAAAGTGTTTGAGTATGTTAGAGATATAACATATTATTCTGGGGGTTAGGTAGGCTGAGAGAGATACAGTACGTCAGTTCAAGTGTTTGAGTATGTTAGAGATATAACATATTATTCTGGGGGTTAGGTAGGCTGAGAGAGATACAGTACGTCAGTTCAAGTGTTTGAGTATGTTAGAGATATAACATATTATTCTGGGGGTTAGGTAGGCTGAGAGAGATACAGTACGTCAGTTCAAGTGTGTGAGTATGTTAGAGATATAACATATTCTTCTGGGGGTTAGGTAGGCTGAGAGAGATACAGTACGTCAGTTCAAGTGTTTGAGTATGTTAGAGATATAACATATTATTCTGGGGGTTAGGTAGGCTGAGAGAGATACAGTACGTCAGTTCAAGTGTTTGAGTATGTTAGAGATATAACATATTCATCTGGGGGTTAGGTAGGCTGAGAGAGATACAGTATGTCAGTTCAAGTGTTTGAGTATGTTAGAGATATAACATATTATTCTGGGGGTTAGGTAGGCTGAGAGAGATACAGTACGTCAGTTCAAGTGTGTGAGTGTGTTAGAGATATAACATATTCATGTGGGGGTTAGGTAGGTTGAGAGAGATACAGTACGTCAGTTCAAGTGTTTGAGTATGTTAGAGATATAACATATTCATCTGGGAGTTAGGTAGGCTGAGAGAGATACAGTATGTCAGTTCAAGTGTTTGAGTATGTTAGAGATATAACATATTATTCTGGGAGTTAGGTAGGCTGAGAGAGATCAGTACAGTACGTCAGTTCAAGTGTGTGTGTATGTTAGAGATATAACATATTCTTGTGGGGGTTAGGTAGGCTGAGAGAGATACAGTACGTCAGTGCAAGTGTTTGAGTATGTTAGAGATATAACATATTATTCTGGGGGTTAGGTAGGCTGAGAGAGATACAGTATGTCAGTTCAAGTGTTTGAGTATGTTAGAAATATAACATATTATTCTGGGGGTTAGGTAGGCTGAGAGAGATACAGTACGTCAGTTCAAGTGTGTGAGTGTGTTACGAGATATAACATATTATTCTGGGGGTTAGGTAGGCTGAGAGAGATACAGTACGTCAGTTCAAGTGTGTGAGTGTGTTAGAGATATAACATATTCATGTGGGGGTTAGGTAGGCTGAGAGAGATACAGTACGTCAGTTCAAGTGTTTGAGTATGTTAGAGATATAACATATTCATCTGGGAGTTAGGTAGGCTGAGAGAGATACAGTATGTCAGTTCAAGTGTTTGAGTATGTTAGAGATATAACATATTATTCTGGGAGTTAGGTAGGCTGAGAGAGATCAGTACAGTACGTCAGTTCAAGTGTGTGTGTATGTTAGAGATATAACATATTCTTGTGGGGGTTAGGTAGGCTGAGAGAGATACAGTACGTCAGTGCAAGTGTTTGAGTATGTTAGAGATATAACATATTATTCTGGGGGTTAGGTAGGCTGAGAGAGATACAGTATGTCAGTTCAAGTGTTTGAGTATGTTAGAAATATAACATATTATTCTGGGGGTTAGGTAGGCTGAGAGAGATACAGTACGTCAGTTCAAGTGTTTGAGTATGTTAGAGATATAACATATTCATCTGGGAGTTAGGTAGGCTGAGAGAGATACAGTACGTCAGTTCAAGTGTTTGAGTATGTTAGAAATATAACATATTATTCTGGGGGTTAGGTAGGCTGAGAGAGATACAGTACGTCAGTTCAAGTGTGTGAGTGTGTTAGAGATATAACATATTATTCTGGGGGTTAGGTAGGCTGAGAGAGATACAGTACGTCAGTTCAAGTGTGTGAGTGTGTTACGAGATATAACATATTATTCTGGGGGTTAGGTAGGCTGAGAGAGATACAGTACGTCAGTTCAAGTGTTTGAGTATGTTAGAGATATAACATATTATTCTGGGGGTTAGGTAGGCTGAGAGAGATACAGTACGTCAGTTCAAGTGTTTGAGTATGTTAGAGATATAACATATTCATCTGGGGGTTAGGTAGGCTGAGAGAGATACAGTACGTCAGTTCAAGTGTTTGAGTGTGTTACGAGATATAACATATTATTCTGGGGGTTAGGTAGGCTGAGAGAGATACAGTACGTCAGTTCAAGTGTTTGAGTATGTTAGAGATATAACATATTCATCTGGGAGTTAGGTAGGCTGAGAGAGATACAGTATGTCAGTTCAAGTGTGTGAGTGTGTTAGAGATATAACATATTATTCTGGGGGTTAGGTAGGCTGAGAGAGATACAGTACGTCAGTTCAAGTGTGTGAGTGTGTTACGAGATATAACATATTATTCTGGGGGTTAGGTAGGCTGAGAGAGATACAGTACGTCAGTTCAAGTGTGTGAGTTTGTTAGAGATATAACATATTCTTGTGGGGGTTAGGTAGGCTGAGAGAGATACAGTATGTCAGTTCAAGTGTGTAAATGTGTTACGAGATATAACATATTCCTCTGGGGGTTAGGTAGGCTGAGAGAGATACAGTACGTCAGTTCAAGTGTGTGAGTGTGTTAGAGATATAACATATTATTCTGGGGGTTAGGTAGGCTGAGAGAGATACAGTACGTCCGTTCAAGTGTTTGAGTATGTTAGAGATATAACATATTATTCTGGGGGTTAGGTAGGCTGAGAGAGATACAGTACGTCAGTTCAAGTGTGTAAATGTGTTACGAGATATAACATATTCCTCTGGGGGTTAGGTAGGCTGAGAGAGATACAGTACGTCAGTTCAAGTGTGTAAATGTGTTACGAGATATAACATATTCCTCTGGGGGTTAGGTAGGCTGAGAGAGATACAGTACGTCAGTTCAAGTGTGTGAGTGTGTTAGAGATATAACATATTCTTCTGGGGGTTAGGTAGGCTGAGAGAGATACAGTACGTCAGTTCAAGTGTGTAATTGTGTTACGAGATATAACATATTCCTCTGGGGGTTAGGTAGGCTGAGAGAGATACAGTACGTCAGTTCAAGTGTGTGAGTGTGTTAGAGATATAACATATTATTCTGGGGGTTAGGTAGGCTGAGAGAGATACAGTACGTCAGTTCAAGTGTGTAAATGTGTTACGAGATATAACATATTCCTCTGGGGGTTAGGTAGGCTGAGAGAGATACAGTACGTCAGTTCAAGTGTTTGAGTGTGTTAGAGATATAACATATTCTTCTGGGGGTTAAGTAGGCTGAAAGAGATACAGCATGTCAGTTTAAGTGTTAGAGTGTTTCTCAAGTGTTTCTCCTCTCTTGTGTGGTGTTTCATTGACTGAATTTCTCTTCTTTTATGTGGTATTTCAGTGACTGTATTTCTTCTCTCTTATGTGGTTTCTCAGTGATTGTATTTCTCCTCTGTTTTGTGACGTTTCAGTGTTGTATTTCTCCTATGCCTGATGCTTCACTGATTGTATTTCTCTCCTCTTGTCTATTGCAGATCCCAGTGCAAGTGTTAAACCAAATTGTAGCTAAAATCCGTGAGCTTCTGCCAAATTTAGAATCAAACGAGGAGACAGAACAGATCAACAAACACTTCAAGAACACTGTGGAGCATCTGCAGCACAAGTTGGACAACCCAGAGACGGCCGGACTTTACGAGGGCCTGGTCCTGTAACTTGTCACCTGACCCACTCCTGGGACTCTACCAGTCATTGAAGTTAGTGTCCTTGACCTGCAGCCAGTGTTCCATGACCTGGACAAGAATGACCCTGTCTGGCAAATGTTCAGTAGCTGTTGCTGTCTCTAGTTGTGCTGGCTTGTGATATGAGATTAGTGTCTGCACTTCTAGGATGTACTAGACAACACAAGCCAAGTGTCCATGGTTAATTTCCTACACAATGGCTGCCTGTTGTTGCTTTTTTTATGCTTAAAACATTTGATGTATATATGAATAGTTGACTAACAGCAAATGACTGTGTACGGCTTACTGCTCAGTTTGTTCCATGTCTGTTGTCTGTACACACTCGCAGTAATTCCATGTCTGTTGTCTGTACACACTAGCAGTGATTCCATGTCTGTTGTCTGCACACTCTAGCAGTAGTTCCATGTCTGTTGTCTGTACACACTAGCAGTAATTCCATGTCTGTTGTCTGTACACACTAGTCTGTTGTCTGCACACACTAGCAGTAATTCCATGTCTGTTGTCTGTACACACTAGCAGTAATTCCATGTCTGTTGTCTGTACACACTAGTCTGTTGTCTGCACACTCTAGCAGTAATTCCATGTCTGTTGTCTAAACACACTAGTCTGTTGTCTGTACATACTAGCAATGACTCCATGTCTGTTGTCTGTACACACTAGTATGTTGTCTGTACATACTAGCAGTGATTCCATGTCTGTTGTCTGTACACACTAGTCTGTTGTCTGCACACTCTAGCAGTAATTCCATGTCTGTTGTCTGCACACTCTAGCAGTAGTTCCATGTCTGTTGTCTGTACACACTCGCATTAATTCCATGTCTGTTGTCTGTACACACTAGTCTGTTGTCTGCACACTCTAGCAGTAATTCCATGTCTGTTGTCTAAACACACTAGTCTGTTGTCTGTACATACTAGCAGTGATTCCATGTCTGTTGTCTGTACACACTAGTCTGTTGTCTGTACATACTAGCAGTGATTCCATGTCTGTTGTCTGTACACACTAGTCTGTTGTCTGTACATACTAGCAGTGATTCCATGTCTGTTGTCTGTACACACTAGTCTGTTGTCTGCACACACTAGCAGTAATTCCATGTCTGTTGTCTTTACACACTAGTCTGTTGTCTGCACACTCTAGCAGTAATTCCATGTCTGTTGTCTGCACACTCTAGCAGTAGTTCCATGTCTGTTGTCTGTACACACTCGCAGTAATTCCATGTCTGTTGTCTAAACACACTAGTCTGTTGTCTGTACATACTAGCAGTGATTCCATGTCTGTTGTCTGTACACACTAGCAGTGATTCCATATTTCTAGGTCACATTTCTATGTTTGTTCTGCTAGTCCTTGCACACTCAGGTCACTCTGAAAGTGCTTAAGCTCCCACACAAGTAGTCTGACAACACAGTGCATGGATGCCATGGCCCAGTGAGAGCTGATATTGTAAGTGTATCTATTGTGTGTAGGTTTTTGCTTATTGGAATATTCTTGTAGATTTCCAACTACTGAGAGGTTACTGGACAACTCCAGGTGGTTCTGCCATTTATCAGAAGTTTGAATGTCTGACCAACTTCTAGGGATCTCTGGCATCAATGGGTGGACTGGATCAAGTTTTTATTTGATCAAATTCCACCTTAAGTTTCAAACTCTGCTGTATTAAGTTAGAGTGTACTACCAGCATAGTGAGCCACACCAAGTCGTAATAAATGGTTATCTGAGGCACACACATGGTAGCTGAAGACAACAGGTTAGTTGTGTAAATGCCTACTTTCTCATGGAGTTGTTGTCAACATGAGCCCACATGTAGTTTGTGTGGGTGCCTACTTTCTCATGGAGTTGTTGTCAACATGAGCCCACATGTAGTTTGTGTGGGTGCCTACTTTCTCATGGAGTTGTTGTCAACATGAGCCCACATGTAGTTTGTGTGGGTGCCTACTTTCTCATGGAGTTGTTGTCAACATGAGCCCACATGTAGTTTGTGTGGGTGCCTACTTTCTCATGGAGTTGTTGTCAACATGAGCCCACATGTAGTTTGTGTGGGTGCCTACTTTCTTACGGAGCTGTTATCAGCATGATGTCAGCTGTACAAGCTGGACCTGTCTGGGAACACTGGGATGTTGAAAGCTTGTAGACAGCCTTGGAGGCATGTGTGTGTGCCAGTTATTTCATGTCTGGTCTCCCAGGTGAGCAAAGGAAGTTACAAAAAGTTTCTGTTGTAAAAAAGATAAGAACTTGAACGTTTTCATTATATGTCAACATTATCTCCACGGACACAGACGTATGTATTCCAGTGATTCTCTCTGCTCTGAAAGCTGCACGTACTTGACCCAGTGATTCTCTCTGCTCTGAAAGCTGCACGTACTTGACCCAGTGCTTGTCTGCCCAGGCGACTCCTGCCACCAGACACTTGTACCAAGAAATGACCAAGCATTCTGTTAACATATAGCGGTTTGTGGTAGACTGTCCCAGAGAAAGAGAGTTGTAGATCCCTACAGAGCAGTTGTACCTACTTGATTGTTCAGATTTAGATGTGTAAACAGAATTGTTGTATTACCAGGTAGAACTTCCACAAGTATTTCCTCTTCTTGTTTGTGTTGATTAAATGCACTGACAGCCTGTGTGGACCAGTTGTGCACCTCATTCCATATTGATATCAGTATAGAAACATTAATGTTTCCTCATTTGTATAATATTTGTGTTTGTGGCCGTCTGCTTGTATTAAGTTATTTTGGTCACTTGTTAAGTGAGAATATCTTTTGTTAACATCTAAAAGTTTTGACTTGTAAGTGACTTATTGATTGATTTCTTAAATTGATTGATCAATCAGTCAATGGATTGCATACTGTGACCATCTTCATTATCTATACATTATCAGTAAGTCTTATCTACATCACACTAGAAGGTTCTCGGCACGTGACTACAGGATCACTATACAGATGCCAAAGTTTGATTACTAGAATATACGTTATAATACATATTTTTTTTTTTGAAATGGTCTGTGCTGCCTCTTTTGACAGTGTCCAACTATCTAGATAATCTGTGCTGCCCCTCTTGACAGTGTCCAACTATTCATATACTCTGTGCTGCCCCTCTTGACAGTGTCCAACTGTCCAGATAGTCTGTGCTGTCCCTCTTGACAGTGTCCAACTATTCAGATAGTCTGTGCTGCCCCTCTTGACAGAGTCCAACTGTCCAGATAGTCTGTGCTGCCCCTCTTGACAGTGTCCAACTGTCCAGATAGTCTGTGCTGCCCCTCTTGACAGTGTCCAACTATCCAGATAGTCTGTTCTGCCCCTCTTGACAGTGTTTAACTATCCAGATAGTCTCTACTGCCCCTCTTGACAGTGTCCAACTATTCATATACTCTGTGCTGCCCCTCTTGACAGTGTCCAACTATCCAGATAGTCTGTGCTGCCCCTCTTGACAGTGTCCAACTATCCAGATAGTCTGTGCTGCCCCTCTTGACAGTGTCCAACTATCCAGATAGTCTGTACTGCCCCTCTTGACAGTGTCCAACTATCCAGATAGTCTCTGTTGCTTCTTTGGACATAGTGTGTGACTTTCTAGTAACTTGTCATGTGTGCAGCATGTGTGCACACAGGGGTACAGAGTTACATTGCAGATGAGGACAAGAAAACATTCATGCACATACTATGTGAGGGTAGAACTCTGATATATTGTGCAGGGAGGAGATAACACACGGTGTGTGGGGTAAAGAAATAAATTTAAGAACTGTGTGAGGGCAGAAAAAGTCAGTTACAGACCTGCATGCACACAGACAAACATCCATCAAAGAATCAACAGCTGAACGGTAACATTTAACACAACACACAGTTTATTCATGTCATCACCGCCACAACTAAAATACAACAGCAGGGGTTTTAGAAAAGCTCTGTGAGATCAAAGGAAACAATGGCTGGGGTGTAGCCACATCTCCTGGGCTCTCTCTCTCTCTCTCTACAATGTTCAACAGTGCAAGCAGACGGCCAGTGTTGGCAGGAACATATCACCATAACAGTTTGAAGTCTGCAGTGTCACATGCCAGTCTAGGTCTGTGGTGTCAGTGTCACATACACTAATCAAGAAAGCTGATGACATGTGGGACATGTCCGTCTGTATGTAGTTCATTCATATAGATAACAAGTTCATGGGAAAACAGTTGAAAATTGTACATATAATCAGTTACAAATGTCAGATTCAAAGGACATCAGATAAAGATGCTTTCATCAACATCAACCCTTTCAGGATCTTTAAAAAAAAAAAAAAATTCTCTTAAAAAATGTTGTTAAAGAAAGAAACTTTCTAATTGTGTCAAACTCTGGCCCAAGAAACTAAAGGAAGAGAAGAATGCTGGTCAGTTTGTGTAAACATCCAGGGAGGCAACTCCTGCACCAGCAAGCAGACAGACAAACACGATATCCACAGAGCTTCATCGCAGCTGCCAGATCAATAATATCATTCATATACATTTTATAAAGTAATATTTTTTTGGGAGCAAAATAATTCATTTTACAGTTAGGAAATTAATCACTAAATATAAATGGAGCAGAGAATTAAGTGTGTTCCTTGCTTCTGACAATAAACAAGGGGTTTTGTTCACTTAACCACTTGGAGCAAAGTGACATCATTCCGAATTGACTCTGATATAATGATCACACTGTCTGTTCAACAATTTGTGCCTCTCAGAAACTATCCTAGATATAATCCCAGTCACCATGTCTACACACTGTGCAGTTACAGCAACATCCAACCAATACAGGGGTAGTGGCCACTGTCCATAAACTAAATCATGTCCAGAAAAAAATCTTCATGTTGGGAAAATGGCTGTCTGGAGGTGACAAGATTCAGTTACAAATATCAGTTTTGTAGGGAATCAGATAAAAACATCACTCTGGTGAGGAACCAATTAAAAACATTACTCTGGTAGGGAAATCAGAGAAACATCAGTTTTGTGGGAAGTAGTTTAATGTTTCTGGTGGGAGTGATTTGTTTCAATGTAACAATACTCCAGTGGGCAGCAGTATGACGAACACAAGAAAAAAAAACTAGACTGGAATCTGACACCATCCAGCATAAAACATAGACAGGGTCACTTGATGACCGGCTTCCAGCAGCAGGACAACACACACAGGCTGCTGGACAACACACACAGGCTGCTGGACATTTTCCTCAGTGGCTGGCTCATTTCTTCCACTCCAGCTTCTCGTAATCCCACTTGGAGGCGACTCCTCTGATGTGGCCCTGTTCCTGGTCTATCATCCGCTGCAGTGACTGCTCCTGCCACTCCCTGTTCAGTGTTGAGACTGGAGGTGGGTAGACTGATGGGGGAACCAGAGAGGAACACATAAATCTCTGACATCCTACACAAGCTACAGGCACACATGAATCTCTGATATCCTACACAAGCTGCAGGCACACATGAATCTCTGACATCATACACAAGCTGCAGGCACACATGAATCTCTGATATCCTACACATGCTGCAGGCACACATGAATCTCTGATATCCTAAACATGCTGCAGGCACACATGAATCTCTGATATCCTAAACATGCTGCAGGCACACATGAATCTCTGATATCATACACATGCTACAGGCACACATGAATCTCTGATATCCTACACAAGCTGCAGGCACACATTAATCTCTTATATCATACCCATGCCGCAGGCACACATGAATCTCTGATATCATACACATGCTGCAGGCACGCATGAATCTCTGATATCATACACATGCTGCAGGCACACATGAATCTCTGAAATCCTCCACAAGCTGCAGACATACATGAATCTCTGATATCCTACACAAGCTGCAGGCACACATTAGTCTTTAACATCATACACAAGCTGCAGGCACACATGAATCTCTGACATACACAAGCTGCAGGCACACATGAATCTCTGATATCCTACACATGCTGCAGGCACACATGAATCTCTGATATCCTACACAAGCTGCAGGCACACATGAATCTCTGATATCCTACACATGCTGCAGGCACACATGAATCTCTGATATCCTAAACAAGCTGCAGACACATATGAATCTCTGATATCCTAAACAAGCTGCAGACACATATGAATCTCTGATATCCTAAACATGCTGCAGGCACACATGAACCTCTGATATCCTACACATGCTGCAGGCACACATGAATCTCTGATATCCTACACATGCTGCAGGCACACATGAACCTCTGATATCCTACACATGCTGCAGGCACACATGAATCTCTGACATCATACACAAGCTGCAGGCACACATGAATCTCTGATATCTTACACAAGCTGCAGGCACACATGAATCTCTGATATCCTTCACAAGCTGCAGGCACACATGAATCTCTGATATCCTAAACAAGCTGCAGGCACACATGAACCTCCTAAACAAGCTGCAGGCACATATGAATCTCTGATATCCTAAACAAGCTGCAGACACATATGAGTCTCTGATATCCTAAACAAGCTACAGGCATACACAAATCTCTCATATCCTACACAAGCTGCAGGCACACATGAATCTCTGATATCCTTCACAAGCTGCAGGCACACATGAATCTCTGATATCCTAAACAAGCTGCAGGCACACATGAACCTCCTAAACAAGCTGCAGGCACATATGAATCTCTGATATCCTAAACAAGCTGCAGACACATATGAGTCTCTGATATCCTAAACAAGCTACAGGCATACACAAATCTCTCATATCCTACACAAGCTGCAGGCACACATAAATCTCTGATATCCTACACAAGCTGCAGGCACACATGATTCTCTGATATCCTACACAAGCTGCAGGCACACATAAATCTCTGACATCATACACATGCTGCAGACACACATAAATCTCTGACATCATACACAAGCTGTAATGTCTGGTGGTCACTTACCAAATTTCTTGATGTAGATCAACATCCATCCAGCCCCAGACAACACAAAGAGAATACATGAGAGAATGACCTTCCACTCTCCAGTGGGGGCGTTCATCTCGCTGTAGGTCTGGCAAAAACTGGCCCTGTACACTGGGGGAGAAAGTATCCTTGTGATGAGACTGTGCTTTCAAGCAACACTAAACACAATGTTCAAGCAACACTAAACAAAATGTTTAAGCAACACTAAACACAATGTTCAAGCAACACTAAACACAATGTTCAAGCAACACTAAACAAAATGTTCAAGCAACACTAAACACAATGTTCAAGCAACACTAAACACAATGTTCAAGCAACACTAAACACAATGTTCAAGCAACACTAAACACAATGTTCAAGCAACACTAAACAAAATGATACATTTTGATTTTCACCAAGAAACAAGTGGAACTGGATATTTCTGGTACAAAACGGGATTCACTTGAGGCAAACTGTCATGTGTGCACATAGTTAGGAGTCAGCCTGTGTGTGTATGTGTGTGTATCCACTGAGACAAGGACTGCAGGTCATCACTATCCACTGAGTCAAGGACTGCAGGTCATCAATATCCACTGAGACAAGGACTGCAGGTCATCACTATCCACTGAGTCAAGGACTGCAGGTCATCACTATCCACTGGGTCAAGGACTGCAGGTCATCGATATCCATTGGGTCAAGGAATGCAGCTCATCAGTGTCCGGTCAATAAAAGAGTCTGCCTGATTCAGTGGATGAGAGATTGTTTCTCAAATACATGCAGCTCTAGGCTGGACATAGGTGATTTCCCTGGAAAACAATGATGATTGTCCAGGGAAGTGATTCCAGGTGATACAATCACCCTAGAGGTTTTCTCACTGGCCACCACTACAACTTGGGAACACCTTGGCTGTGACCTTGTTTGTCTAGTCACATCAAATATTGTGCATGTACTGACACACAGGGAGTCGCCGTGGCCGAGCGGCTAGACTCTGGCTGGGGATCGGTAGGTCATGGGTTCTCTCCCTGGCAGAGCCGGACTTTTTTCAAAAATGACCTTGGCTTCCAGGTCGACCCAGCCTTGAGTGGGTTCCGGGTCCAGTCCTGGGAAGTAAAAGCGGCCATCGTGTTGCTGACCCCATCACCCATCTTGTGCCGATTGGTCTATAAAAATATAGGTCTAGCCCTATATACCCTATTGGCCTGATAAGAGGGTCGTTTACTTTAAAAAAAATTTTTTTTTTACTGACATACAGTGACATCAGTTTTACCTGTACACACACATCTCTTAGACATCACCGACACAAACGATGAAGTCACTTACATGCTTTCTTGTCAGCCAGTGACAAAGTCTTCCAGTCTCCCTTCTCCTTCTCCCGCAACTTCTCAATGTCTGCTGTGGTCTCCTTGAACCGAATGGCAGGGCACGGGAACTCACATCTATCAACATATGATGCTGAACCATTGATGCCAAATCCGACAATCTCACGGTTCCCTGAGAAAATGGATGTAGACAACATTAGTATACAATGGCAACAACACCAGGTGATACCCCTATGTGGGATCCTGCCCCCCACCTTCCCCTCCTTCCCCCCCCCCCCCACCTTCCCCTCCTCCCCTCCCACTTACAACAATAATGTTGTAAAAGGTGGCTAATTGTAGGGGTTTGCAGAAATTGGATGTGTTGGGCCAAGAGATGCAAATATCTCAGCGTAGCTGAAAATCACAACCCAAAATGTATGTAGAACAGCCACACAAATTGTCTTTTTATTCTACCACAACCCCCACAGACTTGTGTACACCACACCCCAATCTTAAAACAGGTGTACACCATTCACCAATCTTACAGTCATGTGTACACCACTCCCTAATCTCACAGACATGTGTACACCACTCCCATATCTTACAGACATGTGTACACCACACACCAATCTAACAGACATGTATACACCATTCACCAATCTTACAGTCATGTGTACACCACTCCCTAATCTCACAGACATGTGTACACCACTCCCATATCTTACAGACATGTGTACACCAATTTGACAGGTATGTGTACACCACACACCAATCTAACAGACATGTATACAATATTAACCAATCTGACAGAAACCTGTACACCATTCACCAATCTGACAGACATGTGTACACCACTCACCAATCTGACAGATGTGTAGTACACCACTCAATCTGACAGACATGTGTACACAACTCCCAAATCTTACAGTCATTTGTAAACTAACCAATCTTACAGACATGTGTACAACACACACCAATCTGACAGATGTGTACACTAACAATCTTCTAGACATGTGTACACCATTCACTAATCTGACAGATGTGTACACTAACAATCTTCTAGACATGTGTACACCATTCACTAATCTGACAGACGTGTAGACTAACAATTTTCTAGTCATGTGTACACCATTCACTAATCTGACAGATGTGTACACTAACAATTTTCTAGTCATGTGTACACCATTCGCTAATCTGACAGATGTGTACACTAACCAATCTGACAGACATGTGTGCACCACTCTCCAATTTGACAGCTATGTGTACAGCACTCACCAATCTTTGGGTGGATCTCATCCCTGAGCTTCTGGTCTAAGACTACATTGTGGCAGCATACAGAAGACGAGCTGACTGTTCGCTGTGGTGCCCTTGTAGCTCTCAGAGCCATACGAATTAAGTGCCGATTCATTCTGTGAGGATGGATTTTGAGACAGAGAAAAACAGTCAGGTATGATTTCATGGACATGAAAGCAGGGGAAGACACCAGTGTGGTTATGTTGTCTGCCTCTGGCTAACAAGTTACTAGGTTCACTTCCCAGCTTTAGGCTTGAACATTCCCCAAGAACTTTTAGATTTCTAAAGATATGGTATGTCTCAATGATCTCCTAGGTAGCGAGATCTCATACCCTGTCTTCTCAGATTATGGCACAAAATAAAAGATACATTACGCAGGCATTAAACATCCTGATCTGACTATATAGTGTTAGAGGAAAAACCTAGTCACAGTCTGATGGAGCCCATTACTTTGGAGGTGCTCAGGTACATAAGCATAATAGAATGAAGGTATAGCTGCTGTTGCTTCAGGCTTGTCAAGTGGTAGGACTTCACAAACATTAGGACATGACAGCAGGGCTGTTGCATCAGGCTTGTCAAGTGGTAGAACTTCACAAACATTAGGACATGACAGCAGGCTGGGGAAACCAGTTTTCCTCATCACTGCTTTGCTTTGTGAGATCAAGCCCTGTGACAAGACTAGGTTCAGGCCACAAGTACAGGGAGTCGGAGAAACACAATCCTGTAGTCGTTTGCCAGCTTAATCAGATGGTGGGTTAAACTAACAAGTCACTAGATATCAATAAAGACTAGAGGTTAGTGACATACTACTGGACACAAGCCAGTTCCAGGACAAAACACAAGTAAGGGTATATAAGAATGTGGTAAACCCAAATGATGATATACAAGACTGGAGGTAGAAACACAAGTGGAGGTAGAGGAGACTAGAGGTACAAACACAAGTGTGGGTATACAAGACTGGAGGTACAAACACAAGTGAGGGTATACACGACTGGAGGTACAAACACAAGTGTGGGTATACAAGACTGGAGGTACAAACACAAGCGTGGGTATACAACACTGGAGGTACAAACACAAGTGTGGGTATACAAGACTGGAGGTACAAACACAAGTGTGGGTATACAACACTGGAGGTACAAACACAAGTGTGGGTATACAAGACTGGAGGTACAAACACAAGTGTGGGTATACAACACTGGAGGTACAAACACAAGTGTGGGTATACAAGACTGGAGGTACAAACACAAGTGTGAGTATACATGACTCAATATACAAACAAAAGTGTGAGTATACAAGACTTGAGGTACAAACACAAGTGAGGGTACACAAGACTGGAGGTACAAACACAAGTGTGAGTATACATGACTCGAGATACAAACAAAAGTGTTGGTATACAGGAATTGAGGTACAAACACAAGTGTGGGTACACAAGACTGGAGGTACAAACACAAGTGTGGGTATACAACACTGGAGGTACAAACACAAGTGTGGGTATACAACACTGGAGGTATAAACACAAGTGTGGGTATTCAAGACTGGAGGTACAAACACAAGTGTGAGTATACATGACTCAATATACAAACACAAGTGTGAATATACATGACTCGAGATACAAACAAAAGTGTTGGTATACAGGACTTGAGGTACAAACACAAGTGTGGGTACACAAGACTGGAGGTACAAACACAAGTGTGGGTACACAAGACTAAAGGTACAATCACAAGGAATGTGTACAAGACTGGAGGTACAAACACAAGGAATGTATACCATAATTGTGGTACAAACACACACAATGTGTACAAGACTGGAGATACAAACACAAGTGAGGGTATACAAGACTGGAGGTACAAACACAAGGAATGTATACCAGAATTGTGGTACAAACACACACAATGTGTACAAGACTGGAGATACAAACACAAGAGAGGGTATACAGGACTGGAGGTACAAACACAAGTGTGAGTATACAAGACTGGAGGTACAAACACAAGTGTGGGTATACAAGACTGGAGGTACAAACACAAGTGTGGGTATACAAGACTTGAGATACAAACACAAGTGTGTGTATACAAGACCAGAGGTACAAACACAAGTGTGGGTATACAAGACTTGAGATACAAACATTAGTGAGGGTATACAAGACTGGAGGTACAAACACAAGTGAGGGTATACAAGACTGGAGATACAAACACAAGTGAGGGTATACAAGACTGGAGATACAAACACAAGTGAGGGTATACAAGACTGGAGATACAAACACAAGTGAGGGTATACAAGACTGGAGGTACAAACACAAGTGAGGGTATACAAGACTGGAGATACAAGCACAAGTGAGGGTATACAAGACTGGAGGTACAAACACAAGTGAGGGTATACAAGACTGGAGATACAAACACAAGTGAGTGTACACAAGACTGGAGGTACAAACACAAGTGAGTGTACACAAGACTGGAGGTACAAACACAAGTGAGTGTACACAAGACTGGAGGTACAAACACAAGTGAGTGTACACAAGACTGGAAGTACAATCACAAGCTGGAGGTAATATACGACTGTTTTTCAATCCCCTGATACAATTAGTTAAATGTCAAATATTGTTATTCCTTTTGCTGTTGTTACTGTTTCGTTGTAGAATGCCAGGAAAATATATTCAACATAAGACCCTGTCAACAGTACATCGAGGCAAATTATCCAATTAAAAAAAAAACTATATATTTGAGGAGACAACAGAAAAGAAAGCAAAACACAAAATAGACGTGGGTGCCTGACCTTAACCTAGTTCACATTTGCCAAGGAATCTGCCGGGCGACTGTGGTCACTAATATAAATACCAGGACAGGAACAGCAGACAAGGTGATTCCTCCTTTTACACAGAAATGTTCACACTACACACACATTCTCTTTCAGCTGGCAGGACAAGACAAAGACGACAGCGGAGAGAAAGGCAAACTGCTTGAGCGCTTGTTTGACTTTATTGTCGACTTCACACACCAATAACTGACTGTTTCCAGTTTCCTGAATCAAACAAACATTTGTACACAGAACATTACCTGCTGTCAAAGTTTTACCGAGTGATTCCAATGATTATGCAAATAACACAGTGAAAAACTGGCAAACAAGTGGAAAACGTCTGCTGAAACAACCCGCCTCAATCAAACGATCCCAACAAGTGGCTCAGCCACAACCGTCACTTGACATTGAGCAGAAGGCTGCCGGCTTATCTACACCAGTTTTGTCACGTATGCACAGTGTACACATCACAGTGGCGGCCCTGGGACATCTGCGCCAGCTCCACCAAGACAACGACTATGTACCACAACCGATAACAAGTGCACAAGATCAGATACAAAAAGGCTACAAGACTGTCGGTGGTGGAGCTTGAGTCGGCGTGTGTCCGCCAGGAGGGCATTGTCGTTCTAAATGACCTTCAATAGTTCTCCAGAATACAATGTCCCTGGTTGTCAACAGCGACCGAGGACGGCCAGATTTAGTAATACTGCTGCAGACACTGCACCCATGAGAGCGACAGTGTCCGATGATGTTCACTGGTAGTCATGACAAGGGCAACTACGATCTGTGATGTCTGGGATGTTTACAGGTAGATATGAGAAATGTGCCGGTGTGTGATGTCTGGGATGTTTACTGATAGATATGAGAAATGTGCCGATCTGTGATGTTTACTGGTAGATATGAGAAATGTGCCGATGTGTGATGTCTGGGATGTTTACTGGTAGATATGAGAAATGTGCCGATGTGTGATGTCTGGGATGTTTACTGATAGATATGAGAAATGTGCCGATGTGTGATGTCTGGGATGTTTACTGGTAGGTATAAGAAATGTGCCGATCTGTGATGTCTGGGATGTTTACTGGTAGATATGAGAAATGTGCCGATGTGTAATGTCTGGGATGTTTACTGGTAGATATAAGAAATGTGCCGATGTGTGATGTATGGGATGTTTACTGGTAGATATGAGAAATGTGCCGATGTGTGATGTCTGTGATGTTTACTAGTAGATATAAGAAATGTGTCGATCTGTGATGTCTGGGATGTTTACTGGTAGATATAAGAAATGTGCCGATGTGTGCGGTCTGGGATGTTTACTGGTAGACATGAGAAATGTGTCGATGTGTGATGTCTGGGATGTTTACTGGTAGATATGAGAAATGTGCCGATCTGTGATGTCTGGGATGTTTACTGGTAGATATAAGAAATGTGCCGATCTGTGATGTCTGGGATGTTTACTGGTAGATATGATACATGTGTCGATGTGTGATGTCAGGGATGTTTACTGGTAGATATGAGAAATGTGTCGATGTGTGATGTCTGGGATGTTTACTGGTAGATATGAGAAATGTGCCGATGTGTGCAGTCTGGGATGTTCACTTACAGAGGTGATAAGGGCGATGGCGATGTCAGGGATGTTCACTGGTATAGATGATAACAGAAATGATGATGTCCCATGTCTCGGATGTTCACTGATAGAGACAATTACGGCAGTGAGGATAGGCTATATCTGGGATGTTCACTGGTCGATAAGGCATTTTTGTATTCCTCAGAGAGGCACGTCAAATAGGAACTTGAAATGTGATCGCGTCATGGCTTGGGGAAAATGTGGCGTCCCTTAACACATCCCTACGACTAGTCAAACAAATCTATACTTCTGAACTTAGACACCACAGATCGGTTCTTAAAATATTACTGTCAATAAAAATTCTGAAAGTCTACAAGCTCTGATATAGAAGGGAACTGGTTCAAAAACGTCAGTATGTGTGGGGAAACTACTTAATCCTATCATATGAAAACGATCATATATACAGGATGTTGGAAACACTTTAGACATGAGAATTCAAGAGCCAGAGAACCGGCCTAAACAGAGTCAGCCCGCCAGGCATTGGCGAGAACCACGCTGTGTCAAGAACCTGCTCACGGTAAAGATCAAACAACTAGCCGTTCCTCTGATTGAATTGACCTTCGAAAACAATAATTCACTACAACACTTTCAGCTGTTCGCACAGATGTGGAGTGGTCATGTCCACTTTGGGCAGTACGATAACTGAACACACAAAGTAAAACAATGACAGCAGGCAGAACAGGAGACTGGCAAGGGAGGTC